CGGCAGCTGGGGACAGCTGACACAGCCCCATAAGGGGAGGGAAGAGCTGTAACTCTGGCCTAGTCACCGCCGCGGGAGAGCGAATACCGGGCGTCCCTGTGAAGCAGCCTTCAGCAAATCCCTTCGCGTGCACAGCCGTGGCCATACTGCGCAGAGGGCGACCCCGCGGAGACCAGCATGCTCCTGCGCTCACACCTTTGTTCCTTGGTGCTCGACAACAAAGACTGCGTATCCCATTTGGATCTTTACATGGCTGAGGACTCAAACAGCTGAGGCACGAGTGGGGATGATGTGCGTCAGAGAAGAGCGTCAGGTGACCTGTGCGGAGTGTTGTAGACGCCCGGGGGAGCTCACAAAACCCACGAGCAGCTTCTGTGATCATAATCATGTGCGTACGGCCCACTAAAGGACCACTTACTAACGAGTTGGCATTGGCCAGTCCCGTCCACCCTGTTGGAAGTCCCTGTTGTCACATTGGTCACACGTTTTCCTTTATGTGGTCTCCGTGGGAAAACGGGGGTGTCCTATATAGCCTAGCATGGCTTGAGTTTACGGCGTGTGTGTGTGTGTGTGTGTGTGTGTGTGTGCCCGCGCGCACACGCGCACGTTATGTATCTTTGGGTATGTGTTTGTACATGCAAGTGTGTACTTTGTGTGTGCGCGCGTGTGTGTGCATGCGTGTGCATGTCTGTCAGCGAGTGTCTGCCTGTGGTCGGGCGTTCTGCACAGCAGCCCCGGGCCTGGTGGCAGACTGTGGGGTGAAGACGATGGAGAGAGATGGGGCCCATGCCCAGGCGTTCTGGCCCAAAAAACCAAGTGGCTCGTGGCGATGCCCACAGAGACATCACTGGATTGCTGGACAGGGGGCAGGTTAGGGGCGAAGGTCATTGAGCTGGGCCAAGCTGAGCTTGAGGCATCTGAGACACGTTGGTGCAGATGTCCTATGTGTGTTTGGGGAGTGTGGGTATTGGGGACGGAGCCCCGGGGATGCCCGCATCTAACAGGCAGGGGAAGGGGCTAGTTACAGGGGAGAAAGCTCGTTACAGGCCAGGGGCAGGAGAAAAATCGTGTAAGGGGAGAGATGAGACATGAGGGCAGGGCCACCACATCTCACTCTGCTGCTGAGAGTGAGAGCCAGTGCTGAGCTGGGGAAAAGATGGCCTAGATGGTGGCGAGAGACGAGGCCACCATCAGCAGGGACAGCTGCGCTGGGGCCATGACCCCAGCCACTCCCCCTTCCTGGCTTTCACTCCTTCAGAACCTACGGCGGGAAGGGGAGGGTGGAGGAAGCAGGCTGCCGGGCTGGGAGCCTGAATGGCAGCCCCGGGGGCCTTGGCACTCAGTGGACCCGGGCCTTTGAGTCCCAGGCTGTTCTGGAGCTTAATTACCGGCTAGCTCTGGGCCACCTCTCTCCCTATTCAGAAAGGGCTCCATGGAAACTTCACAGACTCCTCGGGCAGGCTCTGGCTCACGGGGCTGCCCCTCTGCACTGTCAGCAGCCCGGCTGGGTTCCCAGGATATAAGTGGAAGGTACTGGCCGAAGGCCATTAGCTGGTATCCCAGCCCGGAACGTGGGCCTGTTCCTCCTCCTCATTCATGTCCTCAGTCCAGTGGCAGGTGCTGAAAGGAACCGGGGATTCAGACTCTGACAGTTTTTCTCATATTCCTGGTGACTTTTGAAGAATCTCATTAATATCTTGGTGAAGGCCTGGGGGGAACTCTCAGTTAAGAGTCTATAAGGAGGTCCACATGCTCCTTGTGGGCCAGTCTGGCCACTACTTTCAAACTAACAGTTCCCAAGGGCTGCAAGCCAGTGGCAGGAATGGAGAGTGGGGCGTGTGTGTGCCTACGTGTGTGTATCTGTGTGCATGCTTACAGATCCACGTGGCAGGAATGGGAAGTGGGGTGTGTGTCTGTGCATGTGTCTTACCTGAGTGCATGCTTACAGATCCACGTGGCAGGAATGAGGAGTGGGGCATGTGTGTGCATGTGTGTATCTGCGTGCATGCCTCCAGATCCTCATGGCAGGAAGGGGGAGCAGGGCATGTGTGTGCATGTGTGTTACCTATGTGCATGTTTACAGATCCTCGTGGCAGGAATGGGGAGCGGGAGTGTGCATGTCCGTATCTCTGAGCATGCGTGCAGATCCACACGTCTGTCTACAGCTGGCCAGGGCCCGAGGCCAGGCCTTACTCCTTTACCTTGCAAGCTGCAACTAAGACCCCCCACCCTAGAGGCTCCCTCTCTGTGAGTGAACCCCAGCCTCTCAGGAGGACACACAGGGGCAGGCGTGTGGCTGGGGAAGGTGTCTGATGCGCTCAGCCCTCTACCATCAGACTCCTTAAGGCCCAAGCAGCTCCTTGCTCGACAAAGCTCAGAGCCTTCCAGACAAGCCATGTGCGGAGACACGCGGTGATGGGGCAGGAGGCGGGCTCGGGCGAGGCCAGAACCGGCTGACAAGCCCCTCGAGGGGCTCCGGTGGATTCCCGTGGGGTCTATGGGCCCAGCAAGCAGCAGTGTGCAAACAAAAGCTTGAAAAGCAGTATTCCCCAGAGAACAGCTTTCTCCTGCCACTGGCTTTGTGGATTCCTGTCAGAGATTCCTTCCTTGTTCTGAAAGCAAAAGCTGAGTAGAATTTGGAGAAAAATCCCCAAGTGAGAACACATGTTCAGTTCTTTTAAAAAATTTTTTTTTTTTTTTTTTAGAGTGAGCGCAAGCGCAGGAGTGGAGGAGGAGCAGAGGGAATCTCAGGCAGGCTCCTTGATCCCAGCCGGACCCTGACCTGAGCCAAAATCAAGAGTCACACGCTCCACTGACTGAGCCACCCGGGCGGCCCTCACGCTTTCGTTTCTTGATGCCCAAGTCCTCATAGGCCAGCAGGGAGAAAGGACAGAGGGGCAGCGTAAGAGGAGGGAGTGGTGAGCTGGCAGCAGGTCCCCTTCCCTCCGGCCGGCCCTCTACATCCCAGCTGGGGCCAAGCAGAGGCCCAGGGGCCCCTGAGAGGGAGGCTTCTGAAGCACCCAGCCCAGGCTGCAGCGTCACGCCCCTGGGGGTAGTTAAAAGTGACAGGATTTCCGGGGCACACGAGACAGACATCCTGCCAAGGCCACTGACGAGTAGTGCAGAGTGAACCCTCCTCCCTTCCGAGGACTCGTGCATGAATGGTGCGTTGAGTCAGAATGAATTCTAAACAGAAGTGCCGAAGGCTGGAGGGGCCCTGCTCCCTGTCCTGAGCCACCTGATGGTGTCATGTTTAAGTCCCAGGTGGGATTTCCCGTCTTTCAGGACACTTAGCCGGCAGGCATGTGGGGCCAGTGGGCCCCTGGGAACTCGATAAAGTGGGACCCTGGGAGGTAGCCCACCGGACCCCCTCCTTCTCCCCAGTCCTCCCCGCCCCCCCCCTCCGCCCTCAGAGACGCTGAGCCATGTGACAGCAGGCGCTGCCTCCTGAGCCACAGCAGGGGCTTTTCTTTAGCTCACGTGGACTCCCCAGAATTGAAACTGCGTTCAGATCGTGAAGGGTAGCAGGCTTTCCGTTCAGGGTGTTTAGTTCTTGAAAGCAAAGCACAGGGAGAAAGCTGTGCGGTGCTCATTCCGGCAGACGAGCCAGGCTGGCCTACCTTCTAACACAGTTGGTGCTTTTGCCAGGACAGAGGCTTCCACTCCATCTGAAGGGCTGAGAGCACTTGTCAGGACGACAGGGGACATTCACAGGACGGAGCACAAACAGCATGTGCTGTCGGAGCCATTGGTCTGCTCAGAGTCTGTCCCTCACACAGTGTCCTAAAAACTCCATCGCAGGGCCCCCCGGGGGCTCAGTCGGTGAAGCCTCTGACTCTTGGTTTCAGCTCAGGTCATGATCTGCCAGTTCATGGGATTGAGCCCTGTGTCGGGCTCTGTGCTGATGGTGTGGAGCTTGTTTGGGATTCTCTCCCCCCACCCCGCCTCTGCCCCTCCCCACTCATGTCCCCCCCAAATAAATAAACTTAAAAAAAAAAACACCAAGCCATCAAGCTGCCCAGTCAGTGGCCTCCCCACTGGGTGGTCTCCCCCGGCGGGCCCTCACCTGTCCACCCCACCAGGGGCACCTCCCGGCCGAGAGCCTCTCCCGGGTCACTTGGCACGGAGACCCGCAGCCGAGCGCCCTGGAAACCGCCTACCACCCAGCTTGCCCCTCGGCACGGCACTCACACCTCCTGGCTGGGCAGCCGCCTGGTCCCGCCCCAGCTCTTCCCACTGGCACTGCCCTCTGTGCCCTCTCTCAGCGTGTGCCTGGTGGGTGGGTGCGAGTCCAGGGCCGCAGAGGGCCATGGCACTGCCAGGATCCCCCGTGACCACCTGGCTCCATACCTGGCTCCTGGGCTGGGGTCTCCCACGGCCCAGGCAATAGGAGCAGCATCTCAGTGGCCAGGCCAGCTTCAGTGCATGCCAGTGGGGGACAGCACCACTTCAGGAGGGAGGGGGGTGGCGGTGGCAGCAGCCTGGAAGCCTCCCCTCCCCTGCTCAGAAGGCCGGCTCTGGTGGGGCAGGTCAGCCGGATCAGGGCCGGGAGATGCTGCTGCTGCTCCGGCACCGTGAGGGCAGCCAGGGTGGAGACAGGGTGTGCTTCTCAGATCAGCACCGCCTGACAGCCCCCAGCCGGCATGCAGGTGCTGTGGTGACAGCAGGGCACAGTGAGCCACACATGCTCCTGGACTCCCCCTGGGAGGGCATGGACCTGTGCCTCTGGGGCGCATAGTGCCTGACGTTGCAGGTGCCTATCTCCCTTCTGCTGGACCCTCCCCAAATTGGCCTTGGTGCCCTGAGGCTGTGTCTGGGGAGCGCCTGGGGCCGAGCGGGCATATCACCATAGGCCCTCTAGGCCCTTCTTGCTCTCAGCCCTGGAAGCCCAGCCCTGTGGCCTGGAGCTCTCCTCAGGGCCTGCGGGGTCACAGAGCCACCAGGCTGGCCCCCAGAGGGCGCACACACTGCACCAGGGATGAACTCAGCCTGGACGTGCATCAGTGACTGAGGCAGCTTTGAAAATGTTTGCTTTTAATAGATCAACAAGAAGAAGCGCACAGGCAGACGAATGTACATATTTACAATGCTTGAGGGTGTCTCCTTGGAAAACACAGGCGCACAGGCCAGCCTGGACACCACGCGGGGCCTTGTTCTCCAGGCCCAAGTGATGAGTAGGATGGAGATGCCCGTTGTTTGAGTGCCGGGCAGGCCCCCAGGGCTTGCCCAGCCCCTACAGAACCTTAGCTCTGAGCTCGGGACCCAGATGAGGGTGGTCCGGTCAGTAGGGAACAGACCCCACGCATGAAACAAGCCAGGGATGGCGGTGAATTCGGTCCAGTTACCAATCGGTCCAGTGAGAGAGACAAAAAACAAGAAAATGGACTTCGCAGCCCACAGACTGAGCAAACGAGACTAAACAAGCCGAGCCTTCTGGCTGAGCTTTTTCTCCAGCTGTTGTACGGACGCAGCCGGGCCGGGTGGTCCCGGGGTGGACACAGGTGGGCGACGCTGCACACCCAGCTGGTCCTGGTGCCAGAAGCTTCCTGACCACAGGGAGGAGGCCCAAAGTTTTCCCCAGAGAAGAATTACCTACTCCCCAAGTTTGACCTTGGAAACAGTGCAGCCGGCACACTCCGTCCCGGCCAGAATGAGCTTCCTAACAGCAGCTGTGGGCCCGGGGAGACTAGGATGCCCAACCTGGGGGCACGGGGCTCTAGGTGCCTTTGACATCGCACCCATGCCTGAGGCTCTTTGCGGTCCCATGAGCAAGGGCTGACCTTGCAGACAAAGGGGGAGCTCTGTGGCACAGCCTGGGCGGGAGCCAGGGCCTGCATGCAGCAAGGGCCTAGGGCGCCCCCCACCTGTGGCCACTCTGATCCCTCCCCAGGGTGAGCCCAGCAGCACTCCTGCCCTGCCCCGGGGCCTGGGGACAGCCACCCCGCTGCACTTCTCAAAGGCAAACCTGATGCTACTTTGTGGTTAGAGTTTGGTACTTTTTAAGGCTTGATCTACCCACTGACAACATACTGCCAAACTCCTTCCTGGGCACAGCAGCTCTTGGGGACAGGGCCCTGGGAGTGGGGACGATGGCAGGTGAAGGTCTGTGTGGAGAGGGGCAGGAGGAGGAGCCTGAGGACCATGAGCCCATCTTGGGGCCCCGACGTCTTCATGTCTCATGAGACTTGGAAACGCCATGCCCTGTCACAGGGGTCTGTCCCGTCTCTCTCTTCCAGAAGGTACGGCCCGGCATATCCTGCTTCACCTACTTACTGGGTGGAGATCAGAGCACGTGGTGCTGGAGAAGATGTGGGAGAGGAAGAAGGTGCCGTCGGCGCGGCTCTAGACAAGGCTGGTCTTCCGGCTCCCGGCCAGAGGTGCCTAGGAAGCTGCTCCCGAGCACGTGAGTGCAGGGTTCCTGGCTGGAGGTGCCCAGGAAGCCGCTCCTGAGCACGTGTGTGCAGGGCTCCCCGCTGCCCTGCCCAGGCAGAAGCGGCTGTGTGTCTGACACTGAGAACCAGCCCAGCTGGCCCTTCCCGGAGATGAAATCAAGGCACTCAGGGTTCCCTGAACAACCAACCAAAAAGGTGACCAAACGCAACAGAAGAGAAGAACCGATGAGGGCACTGAGGTGTGTGTGGAGCAGGGAGCTCTTTCCTAACAAGATAAAATACTTTCCAGTCATAGTTAGGACGCACTTCATCCTCTGAACCCTGAGCTTCCCTGCAGGGCTGTCGCCGTGTGAGGGGCAGGCCCGGGGCCTAGGGTGGGGAAGTGGCCTTCCGCACGGCCATAGCCGGAGCCACCACAATCTCATCGGAGTCGTCGGAGCTGCCGTCGTCCGCGGGTCCCAGTCCCGAGGGAGAGGACAGCCCTGTAAGGAACCAGAGTGGGGTCATCACCGCAGCTGCTCAGGGCTGGGGTGCACCCCGGCTGCCAGTCTCGGATGCTCTGCACAGCACCTACTTCCTGCCAGGCAAGCCCCAGGTCAGGCCCAAAAGTAGCGAGGGAGGGAATGACCTTCGGGATTAGTGTCACACAGCACCGACCACCTGAGTCTCCAAGCTCAGCCCTGGACACTGTGGCCATTTCCAAAAGGCAGACACCTGCAGAAGGTAAAGGCCGGCCAGCAGTGGGCAAGCTCAGGCTCGGCCAGGGGTCCTGGGGGCCACCCTCGCCACAGCACCCCAAGCCTGGGGCCTGGGCAGAAGCTGTGACCCAGCGCTGGCAAGGCTGGCGGCCACCTGTGTTGTCAGAGCCAGCTTCCTGGTGGCACATCCACCTGGCAGTAAGGCAGGGCCACACGGCGCCCGGCAACCCCTCTCCTGCACTCTTCCCACACAGCAACCTTCCAGGGTCCTCCTTCTACGCTGGAAGGGACGCCACCTGTAGACCGCCTGTGCCCTGGGGGGGCCTGGCGAGGGCCCAACAGGGTGAGGGATGGGAGGAAGGGCCACAATCTGCCTGGGGAGGAGTGAGAGGGGGCCGGTGCTGGTCTGGGGTAAAGAGGGAAGGAAGCTGGGCTCAGCTGCTCCTGGCGCTTTCGAGAGAGCATACGAGAGAAGAACCTTAGGATGCTAAAATGTTCGTCTTCAAGTTTTTTTTTTTCTTCAAAAACACTGTCACAATCGGACCAAACAAAGGCCAGACAGCCCTGCTGTGAACTGAGAGCAGCGTGTGTGATAACCCCCTTGGCAGGAGACGACACAGTGTGGGGAGGGACTTCGGGAGCCTGGAGTTCTGGATGGCTCCGCAGGCCCCAAGCATGTGCGTGTCTTTCGGTGTATCCTGCTGCTGCTGCCGTTCGCTCAATACTTGGGGCCTGGGGGCCGCCATGGTGCAGCATCTGCGAGCTCTGACAGGCTGGGCCACGTGACTGGAACGGACACAGCGTGATTTCCCACGCTATGGTGATGTCCAGGGCAGATGCCCCCTCAGCTCCTCGGGACCTTCTCTGAGACCCAGTCCCCCAAAGGCCGCAGCCGCCCCCACTCACCGGAGCAGGGCTGCATGGCTGCTGGCTTCCCCGGTGCCTCGGCCTCGGCCGCCGGCCCGTCCACGGTCTCCCCGCTGCTCGCTTCACTGTCCTCTTGAGCTGAAACGACATGCAAACTAGAAGTGCCTGCCCTGTACAAGGCTGGCGTGGGACCCGGGAGGGACTCGTCACCTCCACCTGTCTTTACACCTCAGTGGGTCTGGCTTCCTCTGGTGACGTTTCCTGACGTGAAGCACCACTTCCCACCTGTCCTCAGACTCCATCTCTGTGACCTGCGAGCTCAGGACAGAAAAGTCCCGGAAATGGTCCCACTGTCACTAATAGGACCTCAGGACTGCATTTCTTGGTCCAGTGACCGTCTCAGACCTCATGGCACCACCTTCTCGCTCATTGCCAACATCACAGTAAGAGCACGAATGAGTCACAGAGGAGGAAGCGTGAGGAGAGGTCACGATCGCGGGGCCTGAAAGCAATGTCCAGGCTCTCACCTGGCATCTACTTCACGTGCGGGGAGACAGGCCCCGAAGACCAGGGCCCTGCCCGGGACACCACGTCTGCCACCGGGCAGAGCTGGGCTGGGGCTCGCCACTGGGGCGCAGCACCCCTGCCAGTCCCAGGGGTCTCTGCACTGTCTGGGGTCTTTGTGGGGCCGAAGAGCAAATACAAGCAAAGCTTCACCTAAACTCAACAAACAGGGAAAGCCCTGGCCCAGAGGGGGGAAACCAGCAGCTCCAGTTAGAGCCAAGAATCAGAACGAGTCATGATGCTCCAACCATGTGGCCTGCAGGTGCCCAGAAGCTGCCACCACTGACCCCGAAGCCACCTCTAGAGGTCCAGGATTTCCCTGCTGTGGTTGCACTGTTGGTAGGTGGCCACAGTGGACAAGCCCCCATGTGCCCACACCCCACGCTTCCGAGGCAGCGGCAGCTCTTTGCAGGGAGCTCAGAGGGCCAGGGAAATGGAGACAGAAGTGAAATTACCAGGAGAGGAGGCAGGCCAGGGTGGAGACGACGGCTGGCTGTGTGTGGCTGGAAGGGGCCTTCTCCTGGACGCTGTGGTGATGGTCCTCTGACTGGCGGCACTGCAGAAGAGAGACAGGCCAGCTGCTTGGACTTCACAGAAGGCCCACATGGACTGAGGCCCACAGCAGGACTCACGGATGTGCGGGAGGCCAACAGCACTGGTGCATGGCTGAGGTCAGGGCCAGATGCCTTCCTTTCCGTCTCCCGTGCCTTTCCCATCCCAGTGGACATGGTCACTGGCCCTGCTGGCCACGCTGGGATGGACCCTGACCCACGTGGAGTCCCCAGCTGTCCTCGCTTACAGGGAACCAGGACCATGAGATTCTGGCTACACCTGGCTCTCCTGTGGGGGAGAGGAGCTGAGACTGAAATTGGGGAGGAAGAGCAGGGCGGGGAGGTGCAGGGAGCCCGAGCCCGGGAGCAGCGCAGCCCCCCCCCGCCCCAGGGACACTCCCTCTGCTTCCATGCACACCCCTCCCAGGAATACTCCAGGGAGCACCACCCCCCCAGGGGAATCAGATGGACTCCGAGGCTCTGCAGCCAGTGCCCCCGCAGGTCTGGCAGCAGTGGTGCTACGGGGAACAGCATTGTTGCCCCAGGAAGGCTCTGACGATGCCAATCTTTCCCAGGACACTGGGGTGGTGTCACGTTTTGTTTGAAAAAGGACTATGCGTTAGGACAAGATGGCCAGCCTACAAAGTGGCGGGTGCTGGAACCACGCAGAGGACCGTTGCAGGAAGGCATCTTCCTGAAGGCCAGAACTCGCGGGTTATCCCAGCTGCACACATGGGTGGAACTCCTCACGGGGTGTTTTCGTCAGGGCGACCCGCCAAGGTCCCAGCTCCCACTCCCTGCACCTGTGCACTACAGGCAGGCCTCCTGGACGGGCAGCTCCCTGCGCTGCGTCTGTGGCGGGCATTTCCCAGGGACACAGAACAGAGGCAGGCCTGTGGGTTGGATTTACCTGTGCCTGATCCGTGCCAGGTGCGCCCGGAGGACGGACTGGATGGCGGTGACAGCCTCCTCCTGTCCCAGGCTGCCCTCCGCCTGGACGGTGGGGCTCGGAACACGTGGTGACAGAGGGTCCTGCAGCAAAATGACAGTGGGTGTGGCCAGAACCCCGCCTGGCCCTCAGGGGCCCCGTTCCAGGAGGCTCAACTGGGTACTAGGTGCTTAGCAGCTTCCTGATTCTCAGATTCTAGAGATTCTTAAAATGAACATCTTGTTTTCACAGAGCAGGAAAATGCTTACCTTCACGCATTAAGATTATATCTTAATTGTGAAATGGATGAGCTATCTAGCATGTGAGCACCTCAAAGCGGGTTGGCCCCTGACGTTAAACCCATCCGAGCCTGCCTGGCCTGATGTGCCTTGTGACGGACAGTAAGGTACAAGGAGGGATATGAAGACAGGAAGATGCCATGCTGCCTCTGTAGATGAGGCAGGAGATGCAGAAATGGGGAGAGAGAGGTCAGCGCGTTGCTGTGCCCGTCCCCGGGGGTTACCTGGCTGGGCAGGCCGGGGAGCCCCGAAGCATGCCCTTGGCTTGCTAATAGCTTCGCCCGCGTGAGATGTCCTCTGAATGCCGCCTGAAGCACCGTAGCTGCCTGGCAGGGACCGAGGAGAGAGGGAAAGGGATGTTAATTCCCCTAGAAGATGGCAGGTGCAGAGAAGGGAGACCAGAGAGCAGAGCCCGAGCAGCAGAGAAAGGACTTCTCTCGCTACTGCATCACGGCAGCTGATCCCGCAGGAAACCAGATCCTCTGTTAAAGGCTATTAAATTTAGCTGCTAGTATTCGTCCATATTTTACAGTAGTTATGTTTCTGTTTGGGCAGTTTATGCTGCACCACAGCTCTTCATACACATCTTCCAAAATCAGGTAGGCCAGGGGTGCCTGGGCAGCTCAGTCAGATGAGCCTCTGACTTCGACTCCACATGATCTCACAGTTCGTGAGCTCTCCACACTAGGCTCACTGCTTTCGGCACAGAACCTGCTTGGGATCCTCTATCCCCTTCTCTCTCTCTGCCCCTCCCCGCCTGTGCTTGCTTTCTCTCTCAAAAACAAACAATAAGAAAACACAAAGTCAAGCAGGGCAGAACATGATCTCAAACTGTTGCAAAGGAATTGTTTATCCTTTGAACTTAATCTTCAATAATTTCTTCAGACGCACACGTGAACGCTCTGCTGAGTTCTGGAATCAGGGTTGTAGGTCTCGGGCAGTGGCCGCCAGACCAGGGTGAACATGGCACAGCGTGACAAAGGATTTCAGCTTTCACAGCATTTTAGGGGAATGACACGCTATTACGTTGAGTCTCTAAACATCGTGTGTTTAGAGATCTAGATGCTTCCAGAATCAGTCATGGAAATAAAGCCACCTTTGCTTTGTCCCTGTTGAGAAGAAGGTGAAGCTGATATCCTGAACTCAAGGTTAAGAAACAGGCCCAAGAAGGGGCACCTGGGGGGCTCAATCTGTTGAGTGTCTGACTTTGGCTCAGGTCATGATCTCACGGTTCATGGGTTCGAGCCCCGCTTCGGGCTCTGTGCTGACAGCTTGGAGCCTGGAGCCTCTCTGGACTCTGTGTCTCCCTCCCCCTCTGTCCCTCCCCTGCTCATGCTCTGTGTCTCTCAAAAATAAATAACCATTAAAAAAAAAACAAACAGCCCTAACAAAGTACAGTAATGGAACCTTCGTTAAGGCAAATACATATGCAGGCTCACCCAGGGGGCTCGCGGCACAGGGGTGACAGGGACCTCCCCACACACAGACGACAGGGATCTAGGGCTCCTTGTGGGCAACACGGGCTGAGGGTGATGGCTGCCAGCTTACACCACCCAAAGCTTGACAGAAGCCCAGCCCCCTGGACGCACTACAGCTGCCTGGCAAGGGGTGGATGCTCAGACCCAGGACGGCCAGGAAGCTCGCGGCAGAGCACGACAGCCCGCACCAGCCGGCTGGGAAACACACAACAGGTCCCTGGAGGAGTCCCGGATTCACCCATTCACCCTCCCGTTCCACAGATACTTGCCGAGAGCCTACCACGTGGCAGGCTCCACTCTGGGAGCTGTGGACACAGTGGCCCAGGCAGAGATGATCCTTGCCTCTGCGGAACCTCCATCACAATGCAAGACAAGCAATTAAAAAAAAAAGCAAACTATCAAAATATCAAGTAGGGATGAAAACTACAGAGAGAAATAAAGCAGGACACAGGGCTGGAGTGATGGCTGGCACAGGGTAGTTGGGGCGGAGGCGGGTCTCTGAGAAGATAATGTTTCAATACGGACCTGCATAAAGCAAGGGGGCAAGATATGCACGTATCTGGAAGAAGAGCCTTCTAGGCAGGGGGAGCAGCAAGTGCAAAGGCCCTGTGGTGGGAATATGCCTGGTGGTGTCGAGGAGTGCTGAAAAAGCCTCCAGACTGGCTAGAGAGGGACAGGGCTGGAGGGTCGCCAGGGCGTGTGGCACAGAGGGGGTTTAGGCCACAGCTTTGGATTTTGTTCTGAGTTTGAGAACAAGGCTTATGCGGCAGTGGCTGTTATGTATCATGGAAGACATGTTGCCCTGGAGGCCGTGTGGAAAACAGGCTGGGAGGCAACAGCATCAGCAAGGAGCTGGGCGGGTTGCAGCCCCAACACCTCCCGGCCGCGCCCAGCCCGGCTCTCCCGGCACACCTGGCTCGAGCCCTAAACCACACCTGTGCTCTGACCTGCGATGGTCCGTCTGCTGTTTGTGTCAACATCGTTTTGGGCCTGAGGGCCCCCGGGTGCCTCACTCTGAACTGATGACCGAGAAAAGTGTGAAGAAAGAAAGAAGGAAGGGAGGAAGGGAGGAAGGGAGGAAGGGAGGAAGGAAGGAAGGAAGAAAGAATCTCAAAGTGTGAAACTGCCCGAATACTCAGTTGGTGTTCACATCCCCTGGGGCTGACATCACCAAAACAGGCGCCTGGGATGCTTCCTGAGAGATACGTCCCACCCGCACTCTGCTCCAGTGCAGAAGTACATATTCTAAAACGGACGAAATAACTGTTGCTTACCTCGTCCAGAACAGCCCTTTTTTTCTGAAATAAAGAGATAAGTCATGAATTAAGTCATGAATAAGTCATGAGGGTGAGTTTTTTACCAGAGTATTCCTTTCCTGATCCTGCCCCCCCAACGGTTGCCATGGATGGAAAAGCAGAGTCAAGGTAGCGGGCTCACCCCTCACAGAGAGCCCCCCTCCCACATCCCTGGGGCTCACTGCATCCCTGATCCTCCTTGGCCCAGTGGACAGTGTTGAGGGGCCAGTAGCCATAGCTGGATAGCCAGCTTCCTCAGGCCAGGTCACAGTTAAAGACAAGCCACATTGGTGTCGCCTGCGGCTCTTGGCCAGCCCGCAGGAGCGATCGCTGAGATGTGACTCATGAGCATCACCATGTGTCTTCAACTCCGGGTGGGGAAGCCCCTCCCCACAGCCGGAGCTGTCCCCACCCAGGTGCCCTCTCCAGGGGGTCACGCGGTGGCTGGGCACTGCCCGCTGGACAAAGTCGTCCACAGGTCTGGGTCACTGGCTCCCAAATCTGACCCATCGTCAGAAGCACCCAGAGACTTGGGAAAGGCAGGCTACGCCCCAGACAGGCTGATCCAGACAGGTCCCAAGAACGTGTATTTTTATAGATATAAGTGAAGCCCAAGTCTTCCAGTGTGGGAGCCCCAGGATGATACGCGCACAGTCCATCAAGCGTGCATTAGCCAGCGTGCTGTCAGTATTAATCAGAGCGCACGACCCCTGTAGCTGTCACAGAAGAGGATTCGTCCCTTGACAGGTTAAGGGAAAATGGAGTATGAGGACCAGCATGGTATAAAAGAAAGAAAGAGAGAGAAAGAAGGAAAGAAAGGAAGACAGAAATATATGTCTGATAACAGTCACTATAGAAACTGGCCGAGATCATCTGCAGCAGCAGATGAGGACAAGGAAGGCACTGGCTGGGATACGGGGTAGGAATGACGAAGTCTGACATTAAGCCTGAAAAGAGCAGAGTGGAGGAGTGGAGATGTGCTGTGACTTGAGACACACAGGAAGAAGGAATCGTGTGGCCAGTGGAAACAGCCTCTGAGTCAGGAGACATGTTGGACTGTGGCCAGCACTGCCTGCGGTTCACCCCACAGCTCACGGGGTGTCTCGGTGGCTCGGTCACTTAGGTGTCCAACTCGTGATCTCACCGTTCGTGGGACCGAGCCCCACACGAGGCTCTGTACTGACAGCATGGAGCCTGTGTGCGATTCTCTCTCGGTCTCTCTCTCTCTCTGCCCCTCCCCACCCTCTCTCCCAAAATAAGTAAATAAACCTAAAAAAGAAAAAAGCTGGGTGTGGGGCACAACCACAGTGACCAGGAGGGCTCCGGGCAAGTCTAGGGCCTCCCTGCTCACAGCCTCAGATGCCCTCGAACGCCAGCATGAGCCCAAGACCTGCAGACCCAGAGGACCTCGATTTCCAACCAAGTGGCCTTTGAGATGTTTTATTCTCACATGTAGGTACGTGCGTTTCATTGTTCTGAGTTCTTTTAATGCGGAATTGTGAAGGAAGGAAGGACTTCACTCATGAGTCATGAAGCAGGCCATGCCCCAGCTCCTGGCAGGAAGGGGTGGAAGCCCGTGCCTAGAAGGTAGGGAGGAGCGAGCGAGGGCGCTGCTCTCCCAGCACCTTTTGTGTCATCTTTTTAATGCAGCAAATGACTGATCAGGAGAAACAGACAAGTGGCTCAGGAACCACAAGCGCCATCCAGCTCTGGGGTAAGGAGGACTGGGAGCCTGTGATGCCTCCTTGTGCCAGAAACAAGGGCGCCTACAAGGCCACCGGCCCGACGGGAGCCAGCCCCAAGTGCTCCCACCGCCCAGATGCGGGATGGCCTCCACGCTACAAAGGCTACAATGATGACCCCTGGACACAGCACTGCTGCCACCCAGCAGGAAGGGTGGGAAGGACCTGTCCGGTTGCTGAGCAACCACCAGACCATTCCCTGCTCGGAAACCAGTGCTTACCTAGCACTCAAAGCTTTGACCCTGCCTTTCTGGAAGGCCCGGGAGCTGTGCTCTGGTGACTAGCTGGTAAGGAAGACTGCTTTACAGAAGGGTGACAGACACTAAGGGGTGGGGGTAGGAGGGCAAGGGGATCGTGGGCCCCGCACTTGGGATGGACCCGCCTCGCCCTGCGCCCAGAGCTCGGGATGGACCTGCCTTGCTGTGGGCAGAGGAACAGGGCAGTGATTCCACGATGTGGCTGCCGTGTGCACCGGCTCACTTCCTTCCCCCAGGACCCACTCCTCCACTGTGGGGCCGGGCGCTGGTGTCTCCCTCACCCCCCATGGCATTCTCCTCTCCTGCACTTTCCCACGTGCCAGCTGCTGCGTGTAATAGGGGCTCCGCGCGCAGACCATGGCAGGGCCTTCCGGGCTCTCACCTGGTGTCTGTATGCCCTCCACCGGCTCTGCACGACCCTGGCCGCCGTGTCTCTTCGGCCCTCGGAGCAGGTGGATGGGGGCCAGGAGAAGCCCTCCTCGCTTGTGTCTGGCTCAGCATCCTGCTGACAGGGCCTGCTGGAGGGAAGTGACAGTCCGGGCTCTTCTGGGGTCTGTGGGAAATTCAAGGTGCAAAGGATGATTAAGCCAGGCAGGGAAGACGGGGATCCAGTAAGGTGGCAGGTGTTACTTGGCACGACACAGGCAAAGCTCGTCAGACGAGACTTTCAGTTTAGAGGAAAAATCTGCACCCACGCGTCCAGCCTTACAACAAAAGACGTCTGCAGAAACAACGTGTAGCTAACAGATTTCAGCTCTATCTTCATCCACCTCCCTAACGCTGGCGGGGGCAGTGCTCCCCTGCGGGGTGGGAGGGTGCTGGGAGGTGGCCCCTTCAACCTAGGCCGCACTTCCTGAGTGTTCCTGCCAGGTTCACCGGCTTTTCAGGCATCTTGTTTTTGGTCTTTTAGCCTAAGACTTAGAGCAACAGGACCTTGTGATTAGAGGAATCTGATATGTAGCTTGGTTTTCAAGGTGAGAAGAATTGCTACTTTGATCGTTGAAATAAACCTGATATCTACCACACTGAAGGGTCCAAATTCATTGTCTGCAAAGACATCTCTCAATGAAAACAACATATGGGACTATTCATCTCGCCCACGGAGACACGCGTAGCTGGAGAATGCCCTTGCAGAGACTGAAACTTAAAAACTGCAAGGCCGCCCTGGGTTTGAGGTACCTGGCTTGCCGCCCAAGCCCCAGTGCCCCCGAGTGGGTCAGCCACTGTCACCCAGTACCCCCGCTGCCCAACCTCAGGGGGCTGTCTCCTGCCCCAGTCATAATGCACCCCCACATCTCTGCTTCTCTGGAGCCAGGAAAGACCCGTCATCGTGTCCCAACCTGAGCAAAAAAGTGACATCAGTCACCTAAAGATAAAGGAACATTTACTCAAAAACTCTAGGCAATCAGCTGAAAGAATTCTAAATTTTCATGTACATATAAATTCCTCAAGGCCACCGTTAAAAACAGACACCCCCCCCCCATTTGTGTATTTATTTTATTTTTCTAAGTAGGCAATGTGCTCAGTGCGGAGCCCAACGTGGGGCTTAAACGCAGGATCCTGAGATCAAGCCCTGAGCAGAGACCCAGAGCCGGAGGCCTAACCGACTGAGCCATACAGGCGCCCCCCCCAACCCCCCAATTTAAACCTACAACTAATCCTTCATGTTCAAATGCTGAGGGCCAAGTCCCGCAGGAAAAAAAAAACAAAGCCTGTGTGATATACATGCCTGTTGTAAAAAATTCAGACTATACTAGAAGAAAATTAAAAAGCGCTCATGATCCCACCATACTTTGGTAATCCATTCAGACATCTTCCCGGGTTTTATAAATTTTTTTCCTAATAAAAAGGGATCAATGCTATGACTTTTTCTGGAGGATTTGTTCCCATCAAACAATAGGTCACAGGCAGCTTTCTGAGTCAGTAAACGGAAACCCTTGCATCCTTGGTGGTGGCTGTATGATGTTCTGCTGACTCAGTTCACAGTGTGTGGGCACCTGTCCACGGCACGTGGCACCACTCACACAGATCGGCAGTCCACGGTGGGCGGGCACCTGTCCACAGCACGTGGCACCACTCACACGGGCCTGCAGTCCACGGTGGGTGGGTACCTGTCCACGGCGCATGGCACTGCTCACACGGGCCTGCAGTCCACGGTGGGCGAGCACCTGTCCATGGCGTGTGGTGCCACTCACATGGGCCTGCAGTCCACGGTGGGTGCGTACTTGCCCACGGCACGTGGCACCACTCACACAGGCCGGCAGTCCACGGTGGGCGGGCACCTGTCCATGGCATGTGGCGCCGCTCACATGGGCCTGCAGTCCACGGCATGTCTGCACTGCTGCCTCGAGGCTATAAGATCCGTTTCTGCCATTTGTAGGGACACAAACCTCTGGGTGGCATACGATGTCTACGTAAGTACCAAGTGTAATTCTGACTCCGAGCAAATCGCCCAGAGCCCTGTTGGGAGGAATGGAGAGAGTGATTATGGATATAATCTCGTGAGGAAAAGAACTGTTATCATGGGTCCCTGCTGACACGGACGCTCTGCTCGCACCGAGTCAGGAGGATCGAAATCCCAGACTCCTGGAATCAGCCGGAAAAGCAGCACGCCTGGCGGTGGAGGTGCTCGAAGAGGTGGCCCTGCAGTCTCGGCTCAGGGTCCTCCGGGCGACAGCGTGGGGCTTGAGGGACTGGGAGCCACAGCCAGGGCCACCCTCCCGACCGGACATGCTCGAGTGCGCCTGAATGCGCTGGAGCGACTTTTCTCCGTCTCCACGTAGACACGCTGGGGAGGCAGCGGGAGGACATGTGTTTCTTCCTGTGTCTGTGAGCAGGCCTGAGCAAGCCTCCCTGCAGAGGGAGGGACTCCAAGAACCAGACAGATTAACAAAGGAAGAAAAATCTACACTGACTTCTGCTGGTGCCTCCCAGGGTCAAGATCACCCGGAGCAGCCACGTCACAGTCGGTGAGCCCCCCCCTTGGAAAGACACTGTCATCGTGCCCCTAACAGTGATGCGGCGCCTGGGGACAGATGAGCCTGCACACCCCTGCATGCCCCTGCATGCCTGGGCTGCCAGCCGCCCTGGCCAACATCCCCGGGGGTGGTCAGTGCGGGTGTGTAGGTAAGGAGGGGGTCTCCTGGGAAGGGACGGTCACACACACTGGCTTGCTGCCTGGACCCCGGCCCAGGGAATCTGCGGGGCTCAGGCTATTCTCCAAAGCACCGGGAAAACCTCCGATCCGCAGCCCTGGCCTGCGAGGTGTGCCGGGGCCAAGGCTGCCGTGCAGACTCCAGGGGCTCCAGCAAGCGTGCACCGTGAAACTGCCTTCCCCTGCCTCATGGCAGGGCTGCGCTCCTCGGCTTCTCCAGGTCTCGACTTCTAGCTCTTTCCTTTCTTGAAGTGCACGCAGTGTCACGTGGAAGACTCGCAGGGGGGGGCCCCACCAGAGAAGCCTCGGGTGGTGGAAGCCAGTCCAGGCTCGGAGGCCATCAGGAAGACGCACCCCTAGAGCCGCGTCACCCTCCTTCCTCCTCATGGCCAATGACCATCTCCATCAGGCCGCTTGCTACCACACAGGAAGTCACCTTCGAAGCGACAGCACTTCTGGGCTAACGGGCGTGTCAGGGATAGCCTACCATCCAGTGGACTCCCAGGTCACCGCGTCTTTGGCAGAAAGAGGCTCATGGAAAAAGGGCCACAGAGAGACTGCCACGTGTACCCTACCGTCTCTGACATGCGCTCATTTTGGACACTTCCCAGACCAACCTGGTTTGATCTACCACACATTTACATGGGAAGGTCCTCTCGGAGCCCAGTGTGGCCTCAGGGTTTTAACGCTTCTGCCATTTGTTAACGGGTGTACCTGCCATCTGGAGAAACCTATCAGTTGGAAAAAAGGATTAGCTAGGAGGACATTGAGCCCCCGGCAGCCCAAGTGCAGGTAGCACTGAGCCAGGTGTCATCAGGGGAGCTCCTCACGGCCACAGAGACCCCCTCAGTGCAGCTGCCTCCACAAAGCAGCGGGACAGGAGGGTGCTTGGCTTGCACTTACCCCTGATCTCCAATCTACCATTCACCACACATGCCTTCAACACCTGGACATGTGCAACATTCGGTGGCAGAGGACGCCTCCTCCGGGCCAGGCCTGCTCTCTGCCCTAGTCAGAAGCTCACACTAAACACGCAGGGTTGGGTACAGGATGTCCTCACCAAGTATCACTCCTTCCCTGTAGGGCCTCCTCACACTCCTCTCACCCGCTGATGGACAACCCTCGTGGGGCAATTACACTTCCTGCATATGTGAAATCTGGGGAAGATCTTCACTGGGCAGCTTAGCTGACTGAGACTCAAAGCTAGTTCAAAAAGTCACTTAACTAACAGTTAGTTTAGAACTCCGGATTCAACACACACAATTTATGGAAATCAGTGGTGATAAGAGGGAAGTGGATTGCCAGCCTTGGAGTCAGGAAAATCCTGGGGACAGAAACAGCAGAACCTTCACGAGTCAGCCGAGAGCCCCACTGCACCCGGACGGGAAGCCAGAAATGCAGCTGGACCATCATACCTCGGCAGTCGTTTCCATGGGGTCGTCGGTTTCTTCTCGCTTGATTTCTTCCAGTTCTCGAAACTTCCTGGTAAGTGTTTGAATTTCCTCTCTAAAGTGGGAGGGAAAAGACACCATCTTACTGGTCATGGTGCCATGACACGTGTCTGTGTGTGGCACAGCCGCCTGTGGAGCTGGCGGGGCCACCAGTCCCGGAGCGACGCGGGGCCTTGGCTACTACCCCTCCTGCGCCGCGGGCCAGTCCGGGGTCCCCACCTCAGGATTGCACTCTGCAGTCTGTGTCCTTGTCTAGATCAGGGGCCCTGAGAGGGCAGGGACAGAGATGCCCAGGCAGCACCGGCTCCGGACCGTGGTAAGAGGTGGAAAAGTTCTGAGGGCATGAGGGACGAATGGGCAGGAGTTATTTGGTTTTTATTATTATTTTTTTAAATTTCTTAATTTTAGATGAGTATGTGGGGAAATCTCAGGCAGGCTCTAAATTGTCAGCACAGAGTCCAACGCAGGCTCGAACTCACGACCATGAGATCATGACCTGAGCCAAAGTCACATTCAACTGACTGAGCCGTCCAGATGCCCCCTATTTGGGGGTTTGACAAACAGTGTGACTGGAAGAAAATACAACGTGTGCCTTCGCTACAGGTTTCCAAGGCCAAGTAAGAACAACTCTACCCTATGGGGCACCTGGGTGGCTCAGTTGGTTAAGTGTCCAACTTTGGTCATGATCTCACAGTTTGTGAGTTCAAGCCCCACGTCGGGCTCTGTGCTGACAGCTAGTTCAGAGCCTGGAGCCTCCTTCAGATCCTGTCTCCCTCTCTCTCTGACCCTCCCCTGCTCACGCTGTCTCTCTCTCTCTCTCTCTCTCTCTCTCAGAAATAAATAAAACATTTAAAAAAAAAAAAAAAAGAACAACTCTACCCTGTGTACCTACCCTTTCTGGTCTCCTTCAATCCTGCCTTCTGACAAAACCCAGTCAGTTCTCCTGGAAATGAACATTTTATTCATTCCAGTAGTCTGTGTCTTACTTATTATTCTGAGCGCTAAATACTTCCGCTCAGGGTTCTCACCTACTTTTGGGGCATTTTTTATTGAGGTGAAATTCATGTAACGTGAAACTCCCCGTTGCGAAGCCTGGGGTGAAGTGGGATTTAGCGCATGCGCTGTGTGGCACAGCCGCCGCTGGCTCCTGAACGCCCCCGCCGCTGGCTCCTGAACGCCCCCGTTGCACAGAGCCCGTGCCTGGCAGCAGCCCCTCCCCTGAATTTGCCTAGCCCTGTATTTAGGAACCCGGCCCCATGCAGCCTTCCTGTCTGCTTCCTCCGCGCGACACGAGGTTGGTCCCCGCTGGCCCATGTGTCAGGGCCTACTCCTATTGTCATACGAACATACTTGTTTCTCATCTATTTCTCAGAGATGGGCTTTGGGGCTGTTTCCACTTTCTGGCCAACTGTGAATGGTGACACTGAGGGAGCAGGAGGCAGGCGGCTCAACACTGGGCTGTGTCCAGACCCGGGTGACCCCCCGTGGTGATCACAGCCGCGGTGAAAGGTGCGTGCCGAGGACCGGGCATCACGTCAGAGAGGCAAACACCGGCCTAATCATGAAGACCCCTTTCCAAGAATTGGGAATTTTACTCCGACAGAAAGGAAGAGCCACTGAAGGATGTCAGGGCGGGAGTGATGGAACCAGGCTGGAGCTGTATAAAAGCCACTGCGGAAGCTGTGCCGAGGAAAGACGGAAATACTTTGAGTTGTGTGATCTCTTTACAGCTCTGCCTCTCATGCACTCACCTCAAAGCCTCCTCTCTTCCTCTTCTCTCCTCTTCACTTTCCTTTACGCTCTCCAGCTCCTTCTGCAAGTCGGCGTTTGTCTGTAGCAGCTGTCTCACTTCCAAACTGAGCACACAGAACCAGAGACATTTCAGTGCCACAGCAACAGCGATTATCACCGAGCAGGAAGGGCTTTCAGAAAACGTCACGCAGCCCGACCTCCCCGTGATGGGGGTGGACACACAGCCCGACCTCCGTCCCCTGTGACAGGGTGGGCGGCAGGGGCACTCGCTTACAGCCACACAGAGTCAGAGACAGACCCGAGAGGCCCGCCAACCCGGCGGCTGTTCATGCAGATATTCACTGGGCACCTGCTAGGCGCCAGCGACCATCCTGTGCCTAGGACACAGAGGTGAGCACATCACACGAGCCGTGGGCCCTGCTCGCACGGGCCTGTCTCACGCGGAGGCGCTATCCCAACAGGCACAAAATCAGATTCATAAACCACATGTGAGGTGGGTGCTGAGGCTCCTGCCGCCCAAGCCAGGGCACTGAGGACGAGGGAGGTTACCCCATCACCTCCAACTAAACTGCTGCCCAGTGGGTTCTCCTGGGTCCCACAGGTAGCACGTGGCTCCAAGACAAGACCCCTGTCTGACCTCGGCTCCACTGGTCACTGTCCTGTGACCTAATGTCCAAGGTTCACTTACTCTCCATGGGAGTCAGAGGGGACACCATGACTGCTTAGCAGAGCACCTGTCACTTAGTAAGGGCTCAGTAAGCGGAAGCTGTCATCAGGCCACGTGACGGCTGAAGATAAAATCACAGATGTTCTTTACCTTTCCAAGCGACTAGCCCAATTTTTAAAACCTCTCATGAAACACTAATTTTTACAAAGAACCTACCAATTAGCAGAGATGCACTTGGATTGGAGTAAGAACAAGGGGAGTGTGAAGTGATTTTCCTCTGCCATAAACAGGCAGCAGAGAACTTAGTAGGTGAGGAGTCAGCTAGGGAGTCCTTCTCAGACCTAAGTGTGCACATGAATCGCCAGGAGGTCTCATTAGACACACAGATCTGGGTCTGAGAAGGTTCTGCATCTCTAACCAGCTCCCAGGGGGGCGGGGCCGAGGTTCTGCATCTCTAACCAGCTCCCAGGTGGGCGGGGCTGACTTCTGCATCTCTAACCAGCTCCAGGTGATGCTGAGGCTGCCGGTTGCCCAGGCCATACTCTGAGAGATAACTCCCATCTCAGAAGACACGTGGGTGTGGCTTACTCATGACAGAGCTTTGACCAGAGAAGCCACCAGAGAAGGGAGGAGACTGCATTTTCAGTAAGCTACAATTCAAGACACTAGAGAAAAAAACAGTGAATAAGCAAAATCTGCAAGCTTTTCCTTCCAAAGTCTCAGTGTCACAGGGACCGCTTCAAAGCATGTATGTCTCATGTGTTTACACTACACCCTTAAACATATCACTGACTCTAAACCTTAAGGACAATCTAACTGATGGCCTATCTATTTCACAAATCAATGAAAGTAAATTACTCTCTAATTAGGAATTTGGAAATGGCTCTGGAATTCAGAGTCAAGAGATTTAAATGACCCCTCCCTCCTTTCAATAACGTAATATGGGCAATTACTATCTTCTTTTTACCGCTAAAGTGGCTTTTATTTCACATGCAAAACATAGGGCTTTTGAACCACATAGAACTAGGTCAGCAATTACTAGCACTTGCCAGGAGGGCGACCCCCTGCGGGGCGCAAGGTGCTGGCCGTGCTGCGCAACCTACTCTTTCTCCTGCAGCTGCCCCTGCAGGGCATTCCGCTCGCCTCTCAGGCTCCGCACCGCCTCCCGGAGATGCTCGCTCTCCTGGTGCCAGTCACATCGCTGCTGCCGGGGCACGGCGGAGCTGGACGCAGACTGCACCGGGCCATCTGACTTGTCTGCTCCAGAGGCCTGTGGTTTGGGGCCTTCCATCGAATTTACTTTCTGGGGGCAACACAGGCATTTGTTAGATTTCTTGTTTTATGTGGCGGTTATGAAACCCAAAGAAGAAACCAAGCCCGACGGAAACTGGTCTCAGGCATACATTTGGGCCAAGCTCTGCGTGTGACCCCATAAGCCGAGCCGGAGCCCCTCTGCCAGCAGAGCCCAGCCTGCACGGCAGGCGCAAGGCGCCATGAATGACACGGAACAGAGGACACATGGGAGGCAACTTTGTAAGCTGTTCTTCTCGGTGCTCATCAAGACTAGTATGTTTAGGATTTCTGAATTTTCGGCCTCTGTGCTTTTAACCTTATGTGACAGCCCAGTTTTGCTAGCTAAGAGATACTGCCTGAGCACCTTCGGCTCCCCGTGATGGCGGGTCCCTCAGCTGAGAGAGCACTGCCCACTGCGCTTTGGAGCCAACTCTGCCTGACCTTCTTTCCCAACAAGCTTTATTCTCAAATTACCCATGGTATATAAAACTCAGGTTTTCTGCAGTGTAAATCTGTAGTTATTTGATTTTTCCTTCTAGGTGTAGTCTGCTCAGCCAACCTGGGGACAGCTCTCACTGCTTTCCCAGACCAGTCAGCAGACACGGACTCTTCTGACCCACTCCAAAGGAATGGACTGAGTACTGACCAGTGGAGTGAAATCAAATATGAAAATCCACATGGCAGCTATGGGGAAGTATTAACCTCCCCAAGTTTCTGGTGGATAAACAGAATTTTCTGATGACTCAAACATTCAGGCCGGGGAGTGACATGTACGCATCAGGCTGGGTTTCTGGAAGACCTTAGGATGCGCATCCATCCCTGGTCACACACGGAGTCCAAAACCACGGGCCGTGTGACTGTGGCTTTGCCGCCCGTGACACCAGGAACAGGAACGACCGTGGGTCTCATACAGACCTGCTCAGAGTGTGCTCGTTCCCGTCATCAGCACCGTGGCACGCGGGGGACAGCCACTACGCATGCGCTCACTGCGAGCGTTCTGTCCCCACTTTATAAGCGGCCCGGCTTCTCCACAGTGGGTGGGTCCTAAAGGACCGGCTGCTGAGGGTGCACCACTCACTTTTTCCAGCTCCGTGATCCGTCTGAGCAGCCGGGGCTTACTCCACTCCACGTAACCTGATGGAAGAAATGGTTTTAAAAGACAAACTTTGCACAAATCCCAAGGGCCCCGTCAGCCCAGACTGCCTGTCTCAACATGGCCCGTGAGCGTCCCCATTGGCAGGCTGGTGAGACGAGCAGAAAGGGTGCCTCCCCGTGAGGGGTTCTGTGCCCCACACTGTGGAGCTGGCCGTACCTGTGGCCTCCTCAGCCCTCAGTGGGACATCAGCACCTGGGCCTGCACTCCAGGCCAAGACAGAAATTCTCAAGGTCACACAGAGTCCACACCTGCTCTGGCCTCTGCCCTCCTCCACTCCCAGAACTTCCTTCCCCTGTGCTCTGAGCTCCATTACCATCTGCGCTTGCCCTCCGCACCCTGCCGCCCTGCTGCGTCGCACCAGGGGCTGGACCCGGGCCCTCCTCTCCCCTCCTTACCCACTGGTGTGCCGAGTCCCACCCTGGCCATCTGCTTGCTGCTGACCCCCTGTGGGGGGCTCTCCTGCTGAAGCCTCTGTCCTAAACTCACGGATGCACCCACCTCCACCGCAGATTTGACACACCCCTGTCCCCAGACCTGCTCTTCCCTCCATCACTTCTACCTCACAGGGACACCCTGTCCTTCCAGCAGCTCAGATCAAAGTTTTGGAAGCTGGCTCCTCCCTTCTCTGAGGCTACACCAGATATCCAGGAGGGACGTCTCACCCCTGTGGCACCACCATGCCTGGGGCCACCAGCAGCCCCCAGGGGGACACCGCGGAAGCCTCGTCTTCCCGCCCTCTTTCTACACATGGTCCATTCAGTGCTTCTCACCCCTGCCCCAACCCGCCTCCAGGCCGGCCCCACTACTTCTGCCATCATTGCCAACACCCTCCCACTGCCTACGTGTGCTGGGCACACTGGCTGTGAGCACAGCTATCCTCGAAAACCCTACTCACAGGTGTACGCCCCTGCCTCCGACACCTGCTGTCCTTCCTCTTTAGTTGGCTGCATGGCACTTGGTGCCACCAGATCCATGATTGACCTGCAGGCTTCTCCCTCCCAGTACGATGTCGCCTTTTGTCCATTATCCTCCCCCACTAGCTGCAAGGGTGCTTGGATCACAGCAGGTGCTACTTAGATCTTGGAATAAATTTTAGGGTTGCCCAGCAGTGTACTCATCTGAATTTCTGGCAACTGAAAGAGGGCCCTGGGGGTTGAGAGGGAGGACCAGACTCTCCTACATCTCGCCACCTGCATCTTTCCTCAAAAAGCCCGCGATGTGACCTCTCCTCGAGTGCCCCTCCACAGGTGGCTCCCGGGCCAGTACCCTTGATGGTGGAGACAGTGGGGGAGTTGCTCAGTACACGGTCCAGGTCCTCCTTCAGGCTCTGGTTCTCCTCAGTGAGCTCCTGGACACTCCGAGACAAGCTCAGGAGGGCGCTGCTCACTCTCTTCTGCCTCCTGAGGCCCGTCTTCTTCTCCCCTGGAGCCCTGGGAACAACAAAGCCAAGGGCTCCATTTGGGTTTCTACGCCAGCTGAATAAATGCCTTAAAAGAGGGGCCACCACACGCCACCTGTGGGTGCCTGTCCGTGGCTCAGAGTGCCCTCTGCAGATATCTGCAGTGGAACCAGGAACCCTGACTTTGAACTACAAGTGAGCAAACTGCTATCCCCCAAACAGAATTCTATGCTCATTCATAAACCTACAAATCAAAATACTGTGTTCGATGCTAGCAACACATTTGAAATTGTATTCCCAAAACGTTTGTGAGAACTTAACTCTCTCATTATGTAAATAGCTGTATCATAGCTGATTTGCCTCTTATCCCACAAAGTCTGAAATAGAGCCAGTCCTCGTTCAGATTCTGTATCTGCAAATTCGTGTGCTTGCTAAAATTTACGTGTGACCCCTTCATGGTGGTCGGTGGTCATTCAGGGCCAGAAGCTGGGTGCTGGAAGGCCTGAGGGGCAAGTTCCTGGCAGCTGGGGAGGGGGGCAGGCAGCCGGCTCTGCTCTCATGGCCCTTAGGCTTCACAGCCTACTGAGTACGTGCTTTTCACATGTTTGTGCTTTTTGTTGTGAGTTCACAATTTAAAGCGGCCCCCTTCACACTGCCCTGCGATCCTCTCGGGAGAAGGCTGCGATGGGCCTCGTGAGAAAGCCTGTGTGTGAGACACACGAGTGGAAACGGGTGGTATGCTGACCAGTGGGGGACACTTCTGCCACCCGAGGCGCACAGGAAGCTCCTCTGCACACACCCTGGGAGCGACGGTGTAGCACACACCACACCCACTCAGCATTTGCGGACACTTTACAGAGTGTGCCTGCTTCCAACAGTGCGCAGTGACTGTTGGGTACGGAAAGTCTGCCAACCCCAGAAAGAAGAAACGGAAGGCTGTGCCTGGCTCGGGCGAACGCCTGATATGTTTTCACAGCACAGTGCTGAGGCAGTGACATGGCCAAATCTGTGAAAAGGGAATCTTCGAGATAGGGAACCCCTGATGTCTCTAATAAACTTCTTCGGGGGAAATGAACTTGTACTTGGCACTAAATGCCTTCTGAGTAAGGGAACCCTGCTTGGGACAATGGCGCTTTCTAATGCTAAGCTGGAAGCTGTTACAGAGCAGGAATTAAGGTATCGGAGCATGGGGAGGTGAGCATGCTGTTAGTGGCCAGCACATGGCTCTGCGGGGACGTGCATAACCTTCCCAGATGGAAACACGCCAACTCTAACCATAACAGAGAGACGCAGGTGCGTGTACTGCTCCAAAGAGAAGGGCAGTACATGCAGTTCCCATGGGGTGTCTGTGCTACTTGTGGGACCAGACATGAAACACGGTTCCCAAGGACATGATCGTACTTCTTTCCTGCAGTCTCGGAGCTCGCCAAGAGAGTCTGGAGACGGTGAATCTGCAAACATCAAAGCATGGTACGTTACGGTACAAAATGAGCATGAAGACCACCTTCCTCTGAAAAAGCTGTAATCAGATTCCTTATTCCTGCCCGGGGGGCAGAAGTAAGCCTGAGTTGCTGGGATTCACATTCAAGCTCAGACAAAATGGGAAAGCAGGGTCCCCAGGTTTGGTGGGGCGCCCACCCAGGTCAGCAGCTGACTCCCCACCCCCCTGCCCCCCACGAAGGGCACGCACCTCCTCATAGTACGTCTCCATGGCGATCCTCATCTCCTCCAAGTTAGTGGTCTTCATATCGGTCTGCAGTTTGCTAGAAACCCAAGTTCACAGTTAACAGGGAAGCACCCGCACCACGGGGGCAGAGTGAGAACAAGAGTGCTTCCCAGGACGTCAGCAAAGGAAAGGGCTTGCAAAAGAGAGGCGAGCTGGGTGGAGACCTACGGAGAATGCTCCCAGCCACGGGCCCCCTTCCATGGGGAAACAGACTCCCTAAAGCTACTCCTCACTAAGGAGGAGGCTATCTGGAAGAGGCAGAGGACCTGCGAGGTGTGGGGTGAGAACAGCCATGTATGGGGGCGGTGGGATGAGGGTCCTGTAAGGAAGGAGCACTCCCCTCCCCCACTCAGCATCTAACAGACTTCAGATAAAAAAGGGCTAGCAAATCAAAGTGCAGAGTTCAGCATGCCGAAATACAGAAGAAATCAGCATGACACAATTTTTTACAAGGGACGATTTCAGCAAAAAGTGCAGGGGGTGGGTAGAGGAATGGAGAAAACATGCGGGGAGAGAAAGTAGAAACAGATTCAGGCGCCTCTGGGCAGGACTCTGCTCTGCGTCACATCACCGGGACCACACGGGACCAGGGCGGGCCACTGGGGTCCCAGCACCCACAGACCCACAGGGAGATAATACGTGATCCACACAAAGCCGAGGAGAGAAAGCGTGGCTTAAATGCAACAGGAACAAGAAAAGATGAAAGGGAAACACTGTTCCCCAGTGACATTTGGAAGGTGGCTAATACCTGCTTTCATAGTTTTGGTACAGAGAGGATGCTGGGACAAGGGACATTGGACTGAGGGTGGCAGGTGGGGACTAGAGCTGCAGTCTGAGCAGACACGCCTACTGGGTGTGAGGCGAGTGGCCATGCGTGTGGGCTCCAGCCGGCCTACGGCAGGGCACGGCCGAGGAGACCCTCCGGAGCCCCCCGCCCCCCATCCCCCTACCAGTGCGTCCGTACTTGATCATGTGGTCCTTCTCCTTGCACTGCTGCTCCAGCTTGAGAATCCTCTGCTTTAGCCCATTAATGACCTTCCAAGTGAACACCCGCACGTCAAGCTGACTGCTTCCACGTCCACAACCGCTCCCTCCCTCCTGTCCCCAGGCTGGGTTAGGTGTCCCCTGCCAGCTGGTCCTCCCTCACTTAGTCGCTGGCTTCTTCCATAGTCCCTAGGCACAGCGAAGAGAGGGCCCAACTGTCCCACTCTCAATGCAGGGGTGCAGGGCAGGGCAGGGGCAGAGTCTTACCCCCCCGCCCCCATTCCATACTCAGAACAGACAGACGCATGGCCATCACTAGCTACAAAGGACAGCTGTATCTGCAGTACCCCCTAGGGAGTGAGCAGAGCTGATCCTGGAGGCCCGGCACCACCCGGTGGGGCATGGAGGACTGCAGCCTTCATTGTCCCTTCTGTCTGTCAACCTGCCACTCAGGGAGACAGCACCCTTACGTTCCTATGGCCAAACACCCTCTCAGATGGGTTTTAAACTGATTTTACATTATATTTAGTAATACATGAATACGTCTTCTGGGAAAAAAGTTAAAACACATATCAAACTATGCTCCTCGTCCTTACCCCTCTCAACTAAATATTGTCAACTGAATGTGTTTTCTCTAGACGTCAGGTGGGTGTGTCCCCACTGACATGACATTCAGTTGTTTGCAGAAATGGCATCCTGCCACCCAGTCAGTAACTTGGATTTTTCATGCCGCACGTGGTCTAGACGGTCCATCCCCGTGGGGCCTCAGTCCTGCGTTATTCTTGCCCCGCTGTCATGCAGTGTGCACACCCTCCACGATCGATGATCTGTAAGTTGCTATTATGATCAAGACTCAGTAGAGATCAGCCCTTCTTGTGCCAAGTGCAGACGTTTCTTGAGGGGAGGTGCTCCCCAGCACGAGTGCTCCCCGGCTCTGTGCTCCCCGGTACAATGCTCCCCAGCACGAGTGCTCCCTGGCACAATGTTCAATCACAGGATGCAGCAGCTCAGAAGGGCGGTTTGGCAGCGAGTATTAAGGTGGAAACTGCACACACCCACAGATCTAGAATTTCTACTCTCAGTCAACTTTCATTACAAAACCCGAGGTGTCTGCACAGCTAAGTCAAAGGAGCGTCTGACTCTTGATCCTAGGGTCATGGGATCGAGACCTGGGTGGGGCTTGGCACTGAGCACAGAGCCTGCTTGGGATTCTCTCTCTCTCTGCCCTTCCCTCACTTGCGCTCTCTCAAAAAAGAAAAAAAAAAAACGAAAAAACCCACAGCATCAAAAGAGAAATGCAAAGCCCTTTGTCTAAAGTATGCATTATTTACAAAGTTCTAAACCCTCACTCAATCACTTAGGCATTTCTGAACACAGCTATACTCATTTATATTCTTAAATTTTTTTTTCTGAAAATGTTTTTCATGTGGCATTATTCAAATTTTAATGGTTTCTCCTCAATGTTTCCCCCCAAATTGGGCAGCTATAAATATCCTTGTCTGAAAGGCTTTTTATTTTGGAGTCTTTCCCTGAGACACAGCCCGAAAGAGAGTGGTACTGGGCAAACGGAAGGCACAATTTCACAGGCCATTCCTCTGCTCGGTCACGCCCACCTCAAACACAGTGTCTCAGCTCTGAGCATGACCGGGTGTTCTCAGCCCTGCTGACACTGGTTTTGATCATTTGTGTTTATCCTGCTGGTTTAAGGCGTGAGGTTTTACTCAAGGTGGCTTAGGACAAGGTCTTCTCTCCAGTATTGACCACTGGACAAACGGAACCACGGCAGATGCCGCCTGGCCTGCGTGGTGCTTGCAGATCCACTACAAACCCAATTTGGGCAAATCTCTTAACCTCAGTTTCCGGATTTTAAAAATGGGGCATGAGGGGTGCCTGGATGGCTCAGTCGGTTAGGCATCCGACTTCATCCTTGAGATCATGATCTCATGGTTCGTGGGTTTGAGCCCCACACTGGGGTCTCTGCTGTCAGCACAGTGGCTGCTTTGGATCCTCTCCCTCTCTCTCTGCCCCTCTCCCCCTCACACTCAGTCTCTCCTTCTCTCAAAAAGAAATAAACATGGAAAACAAATTAAAAAAAAAAATGGGGAGTGAGGGGCGCCTGGGTGGCTCAGTCGGTTTAAGCGTCCAACTTCAGCTCAGGTCATGATCTCAGTTCGTGGGTTTGAGCCCCACATCAGGCTCTGTGCTGACAGCTCAGAGCCTGGAGCCTGTTTCAGATTCTGTGTCTCCCTCTGTCTCTGACCCTCCCCTGCTCACACTGTCTCTCTCTGAAATAAATTTAAAAAAATTTTTTTAATTTAAAAAATAAAAATAAAAACAGGGAGTGAGTCCCTATCACAAAAAATCCAATAAGATTATGTACAACTGTTCAATGTCTAAGAGTTGCTGTTAATCTAAAACCGATGTTCGTGTGGAAACACTCCGATTCGTCCTCCCTCCGTGAACAGGGCCGGGGTTAACCGTGCGCAGGGCGCTGACCATGTGCTTTCTGTACAGGTGCGCCTGGGCTTGTGCGTCGTATGGACCCATGTCCTTCCACTCCTGTCGTATTGATCCGGCTCCCCCACAGCCCCATGTGGTTTTGTTGCAAACCTTATGTCATCAAACCCAATAATCACACCATTGACGTGACTTAATTCCTTGGGTTGAATAATCTCAAAATTGCATTCCTTCCAGTTCTCTTTTTGCATTTCATCTTTTGTCAGGCAGAGTGCTTCCTTGACTCAGGAGGCTTATCGTGGTACATTTTCCACCTGCGCAGTTTACGGCCGCAGCGCTGAGTGCAGAAGGGTCCCAATGCCCGGCACCTTGCTTCACCCGCCACCTTCGTGTCATGCGGCCCCGTGGCAGAGCTGGTGTGTGTGCTAATAAGCCGAAGGCTTTATCTTAGTCCAAACTTGCTTCCTCAGTGTCTCTGGTTCAGTGTGCTAGACCGTGACCGCTTCTCCACTGGGCACCTTCTGCCCTGCGCAGCCTGTGCAGCCTCCCCTCACGCCCCCCAGCAGTGCCCACAGCGTCTTCTGTGAACCCTCCGGCTCCGTGGATGGTGCTCTTAGGGACTCTTGGGCCCTGACTCCCTGTCACTCGTCTTGCACGACTGCGTTAGAGGAAAGGCGTCCCTCAACTCTGGGCTGTTCTGAGATTCAGATTTCCGCGGGAAGGTTATCGGTCCTGCTGGAGACGGTACTCACCCAGCCAGCGTCGGGCCTTTTCTCTGCCAGAGTCCGAACAAAATCCGGGCCCTGTGGTAAGCAGATGGAGACATGAAGACATGGGCCGGCGGCCTCTCCCCACTGCAGCCTGAGGAGTGGAGCCTGCGCCGTCCCTGCCCGTGGCCGGGCGCTGCCACTGCGGGGCCACAACTCACTCGGGATGTGTCTAAGAGCTGCTCGATCTGCCGGTCCTTCCTGCTGTTTTCCTCCTCTAGGCGCCGGAGCTTTGTCCTCATGACGTCCACATCGCTTTTCTGCATGTGCAGGGACTGGGAGGAGACAGAAGCACACACACACCCCGTGCACATGCGTGCACACGCGTGCACACGACCATCCAGGTGAAACACCAGACGGAGCAGACCTTGTAAGGTAGCCCAGTTCCCGGTCAGGGTGCTGTGCGCAGCGAGGGGGGAGGGAGGCAGATGGTGCCCAGGGAACAGGGGAGACCATCCCATGCGACTAGGAATGCCCCCTCCCTAAAGGCACCTCTACACAGAAATGCCGCTCCGCAAATCCACACTTCTGGAAAGTGCTATCTTCCACGGCCACCTGAGGGAGCCCACATCCCTCACAGCACGTGCCACCAAAACGCATCCAAGGCTATCGTCCACCTAAAACTCCTGACCTCAGTTCGGGCTCTGGGGGTGAGCGCAGTGGCCCTGCCAGTTCCCACCAGTCTGCCGTGAACACAGCGGGTAGCTTGGGGGGGTGTTTTTTCACGGAACTAAATCGATTCAATTCCACAACTGCCCTCTCTTTAGAAATCTCTCCTCCCTCCTATTTTGGGCTTCGGTCGTCCGTTTTAGGAAATGGTGATGGTAAGGGATTTTTAATTTTTGTTTCCATGTCCTCACTTGAAAAAGCCTTCTCCCAGTCCATGAAACCGCAAGGCCTAGAGAGTAAGAGGCTTGGATGCGCTCACAAGCCCACGCAGGGTAGCCAGGGCACTTAACCATCAGCATCAGCCTGCATCTGAACTCACCAGTTATCCTGAAATGCCCTTCTCCTTCCGGGACTCACGGGGTGTGGGAGAGAGACAGTGCCCGAATGAACCCAGCCTCCACCCCCAGCAAGCTGACTCGCTGTGTGCACTGCACGGAGGCCTGGCAGGGCAGCGCGGGCCCGACCGCCACATTGTTCTGGGAGACGAGGGGCCCTGGCACTCGCTGAGTGTTTCATGAGTAAGTAAGTTCATGCAAGGCTGTTGAGAAGAAGATATCTAATTATGGGAATTCTGCTTCCGGAAACAGGGTACACTCACTGTTCCCTATGCCTGTAGCCATGCACACTGTATGTAAGACAACGTAAGAAGGCGCAAAAGGGTGGACAGAAGACAGGCGAGGCGGGGGCTCAGAGCCCCCCATTTTCCTGCTGCCTCACATGTCCTAGACCGAGTGTGGGGGAAGCCAGCAGCCTGGACAAGCCCACAGGCGCAGACAGGGCAGGGGCAGCCTAGCCAGGCAGAGAGTGCACAGGAGGTAACTGCTCCCCACAGGTAGACACTGCAGAACGCAGCGTGCCTCACCCCTGCTGGTGAAGGCTGTGTGGGCAGCCGAGGCGGAGTGCCTCACCCCTGCTGGTGAAGGCTGTGGGGGGAGCTAAGCCCCCACACCTGCCAGGCTGTAGTGAGGTACCCTGCCCGCTCCTTGCAGGGGGTTCTGGTTGGGGGAGAGCGGTGGTCAGAAGAGGCCTGCTGGAAGTCAGGACTTGCACTTCGAGGGGTAATGAGGCCACACACACAATAAGATGGAAGACTTACACCCTACCTACCAAAAATTACATTAAATATAAATGATCTAAACAAACCAACTAGGAGACAGAAAGTGGCACAGCAGATTAAAAAACACGCCCAACCATATGCTGCCTACAAGAAACTCGTTTTAACATGATGTGATAGGAGGTCGAATAAAAGGATGGGAAGACAGATGCTATCGAAGCACTAACCGAGGAGTGCAGCAGCGCTGGTATTAGTACCAGACAGAGCAGACTCGGGGAACAGAAATGACACAGTGACAGTGACTCTAAAGGTTAGACATGTGACTAAACAGGTGGAGCTCCTGCCACAGGGGGGCCTTCAACACCCTTCTCTCAGCAACGAGAGAGCAGCCAGACAGCCCGCAAGGGTGCCAGGGGATCCCCCCTCCGCACCCGGGCCGCCTGCCGTCACACTCCAGGCCACCCAGCAGCAGGGTGCGAGCTCTCTTCCAGTGCCTGTGGCTGCACAGCCAACCTTCATGCACTCAGAAGTGAGATGACACAGTGCATGTTCCACAGCCACGCTGTGGGCCAAACTACACGTCAGCAATGAAGACATCAGGAAGATCTCCAAACTCAGAAACTTAACGGCCAATCCCAAATAATCGTAGACCAAAGGGTCTTAAGGGAAATAGCACTCAAAACACAGCATCTCAGACTTTTCAAGACACGGCTGCTGTGGGGCTGAGTGGAGTGCAGGCTGTCCTGGCAGGGTCCCACAGCATGACGCTGAGTGGAAAAAGCCAATCTCAAGAGGTCACATGCTGTATAATTCCATGTATGGAACATTACAGGATGCCAGAATTACAGAGATGGGCAGAACAGTCAGTGGCCGCCAGGACTCAGGGATGGCGAACAGGGTGGGAGGTGGGTATGACCACGAAAGGCAGCTGGACGGGCAGCCTGGTGGCGTGGGGCAGCGTGTGTGGTGACTGCAGTGGCAGGGACATGGGTACACACACACACACACACACACACACACACACAGAGCAACACGGCGTGGAACCAGACACGTGCACTGTGTCCACATCTGTGTCCTGGTTTCGACAGCGCGTTGACCACTGTGGGAGGCAGGTGCAGGGGACCCGCCGTGCCATCTCGGCCACTCCCCAGGACGCTCTGCACCTGTGGCATCTCACGGAGTGCCGGCACAGAAGCACTCACTCAGGCACTGTGCTGACTCACAGCCACTGCATGAAACCATGCCTTTATTATCCCCATTTTTCAACAGGAAACTGAGGCATGAGACTTGCCACAGAAAAACAGCTCTGAAGGTCAAGTTCCCAGAGCGACAGAGTCCTGGAAATGAAGCTCTCCTCCCCCCACATTTAGAAGCCTCAGCTGATTTTCCTCTAAGTTCATGATGGGAAGTTTGAGTAAAGTTGCTATCATTTTACCCAGGGACATTTCTAGCCCCAAGAAGATTCAAGACTGCTACTGTGGTGGCGGTTCAGAGTTCAAAATAAGGGCTCTCTCACAATAACTCGGATAAACAGCTGTCCAACGTTTGCTTGAAATTCCTAAGGACAGGGAGTGCGGGCGCACCAGCAGCACCTTCGCTGCTGGACAGCTCCCGTGGCTGAGCAATCTCAATCTCTTGATGGCCCCTGACATTGGAGCATCTTGTCTGGACCACAGAAGGGCTGTGTCTTGTGCAAGGGGCCTAGGCTGGGTGCTCCTTGGGTAAGATGGTTCGAAGGCTCCTCACCATGGCTGTGCTCGGGGTGTGCTGGCTGCCCACGTCCCATGTAACCTCTGGTGCCCAGGCGGGCCATGGCCCTCCAGATGCGGAGGAAGTGAACCCTGGCTGCTTCTCCAGGGGCATGAGAATGCACATGGACACTAAGAGTGGTGTGGCGGCAGTGGTTCTGGTGAAGGTGATAAGGGTGACGATAATCTATTCCAGCGTAATTTATCCTATAAGGAGTAGGAGGTAGGACAGGACAGTAAAAATAGCCTTGGCCTTGGGAGGCAGGTGGCCTTGGGGGAAATCCTCATTCTGCTACTGGGAGCCATAAGCTCCCTCAGACTCCCATAGAGACCCACTGAGCTAGGGAGCATGGAGCATCTGGTTAGCACCGAAGAGTCACACACGTGGGAGGCAACGATTCCAGTGACACCAGAGGCCCGTCTGATGCTAGATCCCTGAGCAGAGGGACTGTGACGTCAGCCCCGTCTTTCCCATTCTGTGTGCCGGGCTGCTGGAGCAGGGCACAGGTGCTCCTGAGGCAGCCTCTCCTGCCCCAGACACTGGTGGGCCTCCCAGCTTCCAATGACAGGGCTGGAGTTTAAACTCAGGTGCTCCTCGGGGTGCCTGGGGGCTCAGAAGGTTAAGCGTGCAACTCTTGATTTTAGCTCACGTCATGATCTTGAGGTTTATGAGTTTGAGCGTTGCTTCAGGCTCTGCGCTGACAGCGCAGATTCTGCTTGGGATTTTCTCTCTCTGTCTGCCCCTCCCCTGTTGTGCACGCACACGCATTCTCTCTCTCCAAAAATAAGCTTAAAAAAAAAAACAACTCAGGTGTCCCTCTAGAGCTCATGTTCTTTCCATATGGACACATCTTGGTACTGATCCTGACTTTGCCACCCATCGTTACAGAAGGCTCTTCTGGTCGAAAACCAACAAAGGACAGACAAAAATAACTACCTTCTTCAGCTCAATGATCTCGTCATACATGTCTTCTTTTTCTCTGTAGATAGGGGTCCTGGGAGCATGACCTGGAGGGGGATACGCAAACGTCTGAAAAGGTCACCTGAACAGTAGAAAGAACTCTTGGCTGTACCTTAAGAAAATCCTGGAACTTTGATAAAATTACCCTTTAAAAAAAGGAAGGTAAAAAAGAAGAGCAAAAGTATTTCACCATTTTTAGCCTGACTATGATCCTTCCCCCAAACATAAGGGAACCAACACCGACAGCGATTAGAAAGGCAAAGCAGCAGAAAACTGAAACGTGTGAACACATAGCTTACTTGCAGGAGAAGAGAAGAAGGGGGTCAGAAGGAGAAGCGATATGTTTAGATTTTAAATCACAAACAAAGCAAAAAGACAGAGACAAACAAACAGCAGCCCTTCCAACGCTGACAGAGAGAGGTGGAGAAGCAGACTCCCATCTCTGTAGCGCATGTGATATACTGAGACTGCAATATTTAAGCCCAAAGTAGAACTCAGAGCCAGCGCACGCAGGAAGGGGTCAGCTCAGGGGTCATGGTGACGGGCTCACCATGCTCCCTGCAGAGCCCATGAGGACAGCCATGAGAGCCAGGGAGGAGATGTGGGGAAAGACCGACAGGAGGATGGAGACAGGAGATTTGGGCCTTTCTCTCTGTGCAACTGTTATATTTCTGATACTGTCCATCTGATGATCTCAGAAAGCCTCTGAGTCAGGGGGGCAGGCCTGACTGGATCCTGGGGGCACGTCACTGTCACGTTAGGAGAGCTACATTCTAGGAGGCAGAATGGACTTGCAGGGTCCCGGCCTTCTCTCCACGCTCTCGCAGGGACAGAGCCGGGACAGGAAGCCCAAAATCTCACATCGTCAAACGACAAACCCCGAGCATTCCCGGACTCGTGGCCTCGTCACCATCGACATGCTCACCGTTGCTGGCAGAATGCCTGAGATTGGACCTCTTCACTCTTAAGGCTGCTGCCAGATAGTCGGGAGTTGTGCTGGGGGGGCTGGCCCATGCATGCTCCAAGGTCAGGTCTGACTTCAGGGGCTGGGTCAGACTTCCTGGTTTGAACGTGCATGGATTTAATATGACAGGTACAGACAAACACAACGGAAGGCTTTGCCTCTATGAATCAACCCTCCTGGGCCGGAGAAAGCTTAAGTCAAGCAGCAGATGGTGGCAATCAGTGAAGTGCTGATAAATGTTCAATAACTGGTTCTCAAAACAAAAAACAAAAAACAAAACAAACAAACAAAAACAATAAAGCCCAGCAGCATTTGCCTATTTCCATGGTATACATTTTCCCACCATGTCCAACGTTAATCTGCCAGTGTGACATCAACCAGCTTACCAAATTCTTAAAAATTTAACAACTTGGGACGAGCCTCCAGGGATAAAGTGTCACATACGCAAACTGTCAGAAACCACACTTACAGATTCTGTATAGATTATGAGGTTCAGTATCTTTGAGAAGTTGAGAAACAGCGCCATTCAAATAAGTCCTATTACAAACTCGGTCTGAAATCCCCATGCACGATTCCTAAAACTCCTTCAGGACTGGAAAGGCCTCTTGGTTGGAATAACCACGAACAACGTACCTTGCTTCGAGCTTCCCAGCCACAGCTTCTGTGGGGTCAAGGACATTCTGGTACCCAGAGGCACGCTTGCTGCTGTCCTCACAGATCTCCAGGATGCCACTTTCCTCGGTTTAGAGTGATAAGGTGACTCTAAAAAGCCAAGAGATGGTTTCAGGGATGCAAGACCAATGCCTCCCAATGTTTGTGCTTTAAGTGACACAAAATCAGTGCAACAGAATGTTTATAAGGACATTCTTACAAAAGTAAAAATGTACAGTATAGACCTATGTATTACATATTACATAGCTATATTACATAGTTTTATATACATAGGTAGTGTATATTTTAAAAAAAAATTTTTTTAATGTTTTTATTTATTTCTGAGAGAAAGACAGCATGAGGAGGGGAGGGTCAGAGAGAGAGGGAGACAGAATCTGAAGCAGGCTCCAGGCTCTGAGCTAGCTGTCAGCTCAGAGCCCGACGCGGGGCTCGAACCCACGAACCGTGAGATTGTGACCTGAGCCAAAGTCGGACGCCTAACTGACTGAGCCACCCAGGTGCCGCTATACTTATAATTCTTTTAAAATTTTATTATAAAGATAAAAAGGAAAATTTATCTAAAAATCCAATCATAATTCTACCAATATTTGATGTTTTCAGATACAGGGGTATTGTTACAGTCACAGCACGGTGAACACACAGTTCTGTCCTTTATACTTAACACTGAATATTTTTCATTTTGCTGTACAGTGATACTAGCAATACTATCTAGAACTTAACTATGTAAAAAAAAAAATCTAGAAAAAAATGAGAAAAAATTACCTTTCTAGGTGTTTTTGATTATGTTATCTACACAAGGGAAATGTTTTAAAGTTATTTTTTAATCTGACTTCGTCTCTTTAATTACTTAAAATAAGACAAATTTAGGCAAGCACTCAATTATTCATAAAACATAAGTAGCAAAGAAATTTTGCTTTCTTTGCTTATAAGTAGCAAAGAAATTCAGGACTTCCTATAGTAAGTCTTGAAAACCTAAGGCTATTATATTTAATTTTTTAAAAATCTCTAAGTTTTCTCCATGGCTTCAAAATTATGGGAAATTTCTCATTATAATTTGGGATGAGAAAATAGATGTGTTAGACCTGGACGCATTTTCCCTCAGCAGGACCACAGCTTTCCGCGCTTGAAGGCCTTCCAAAGTCTGTCCATTTAAGTGCTCCCTTAGGAAGTAAGCTGGCCATCAGGGAAAAGCGCCCCCAGTCACACTTCCCTCCCTGGCCCACGTGAGGGATCGGCGGCTAGTAAGGATCCCTCGGGAAACACGCACGCACACGGACAGAGGCGGGAAGGCAGAAGGAAACAGGAGTCGGGAGATATGCATGAGCATCAAAGCGCTGGGCCCCAGAACCTGGCCAGGCACTAAAGAACAACACCTGTTAAGTGAATGGGACACACAGTGGCAGCTGTCCCAGCCCAGAAAACCAAACAGAAGCACACCTGCTGAACTGGGGTCCCGCAGGCCGCTTGCTACAGGAGTGGAGATGGCTCACCCAGTGTGAGAGGGCTGAGCCAGCCCAGGGAAGGGGGCGCCAGAGTGCTGGGGAGAGGACCCCATAGATCAGGGGAGGGGTGGGGGTGGCCTGGACTCCCAGCATGGGCTGTGGGGAGAAAGCGCTAGGGGAAGCAGGGCTGAGGTTCAGCACCCCTTAACTTCTTGATGCTTCTGGGGCTCTCACAACTGTATGATTACTATTTGAAACACTTGAAATGCTGACAGTCAGTAAAAATAATTAAAGATGTTCTTGTATTTACCTTAGGTGCCTTGTAACCAAAGAGGACTTAAAACAAAGTGGTTCTAGAAGAAGGAACATCAATACCTGCTGTTCACAACAATTCTCCATTCCCCCACAGAAGAACAGGAAGGGCATCAAAAATTCAAACTGATAGATTCTTTCTTTCATTTTTTGCTTTTCGGAGGGAGCACGGAGAGTGGGAGGGAGTGAGAGAATCCCAAGCAGGCTCCGCCCTGGTAGCGGGGCTTGATCATGACCTGAGCCAAAATCAAGTCGGACGCTCAACCGACTCAGCCACCCAGACACCCTGAAAGATTATTTCTTTCTAATGTTTATATTTATTTGTAATATAAAGCAGGCTTTCTTTTCTTTGCCGGAATTTATCTTTCTAATTATGTTCTTCTTGGGCTAATAGGAAAGTCCATGCATATTCTCTGAGCGCGTAGCACACACAGCACAGGAGATGTCTGAGATAGACACATATGTAAAAAACGCACGTACACGTATAACGAAGTCAGAGATGGCCACAGGTTTCTGGGTAACAAAAGGAAGCCAACCCAGGATTTAAGCTCTGCCTAAGCGTAAAACTCACACGTGGTTCTCTGTGCACTAGCACAACGTCAGCACAGCCCAGACGAAGAGCGGCCTGGCTGGCCGTCTGGAATAAGACCCCATCCACCACGACCAAACGCATATGCCCCTACGGTCACGGGCTGAAAGCTAACCCCTGACGTGATGGCGTTAGGGAGTGAGGCCCGCGGGAGATTATCAGGTCATGAGTGGGGCCTCCATGATGGGGTGAGGGTCCCTATACAAGGGACCCCACAGAGCTCCCTCTCCCTTCCCCCATGTGAGGTACAACCAGGCCACAGCCGCCCGCAACCTGAAAGAGGCCTCACCACAACCACTGGCTTGCACCCACCCCAGCCTTGGATTGGGCCTCCAGGACTGTCGGAAGGAAATGTCCATTATTGAGAAGGCGCGCAGCCTTCTACTCCGTGGCTGGGGCAGAGGAACATGCATCGCTGCAACATCGTCCCCGCCAGGCCACCGCCTGCACAATCACGGCCAAGGGCGGGGTCTCCTGCTGAGGATGGGGGACTCAGAACCTGCCCAAAGATGCAGCAGGTCGAGCCCGTGGGAGACCACCCCCCTGCTCAGCACAGCGCCCACAGCGGCTTTGACTCAGTTCCGAGGGGACGAGGCCCTCTGGCCACGGCAGCATCCTGAAGACACAAGCGGATTCAGTGGGGGTGGGGAAGAAGCCCAGGAGGCCAGAGCACTGCGTCTGCAGGAGGCGCCCGGGACAGCAGCCAATCCTCCCACAAGGGCCGCGACAGAAGGTGGGGACCCCAAGAGTGCCGGCTTCCAAGACCCCAACACAAAATGGAGCCAGGTGGTAGAAGTGTCACTTCTTGATAACCTCAAGTGTCCGAAGAAGACATGCTCCATCATTCTCCCAAGACACCAAGGAAGGACAGCTTCTAGAAACCTTTCTCTGGGCTGAACTGCAGAAATCTGAGGTATGAAGGGCCTGGCCATACTTACTTGGTGATGTGGGTGGAGGTTTGTGGGAACTTTTCCTTTTTGCTTTCTGAAAGAAAGAAGAAACAATGTAAAGCATGTTGAGCCTTCTCAAGCAGCCCAATGGCCCCAATCACGAAGCATTAGGATGGGTCGGAGCAGGTGCAAGGGCAGCGAGAGGAGGTTGACTCAGCAGAGACGTGAGTGAAGTCTGAGCCCAGGAAGAAACACCCAGCCCAGCACAGTGACCCGGGAAAGCGTGGTCAGGGCGGTGCTCTTAGTACTCCGGGTGCCTGGGAGCCCTCGGGATGCTACCTAAGAGCACACTGAAGATACATGCAAACAGCCTGTGTTCAAGCACCCGACCGTCCTCAAGCCAGTGCCTGCAGCACCAGGCTGACTCAGGAGGAATAAGGCACGTGCAAACCCCACAGTGTTGGGGGGGAGGTCCCACACAGCATGGGGGCCGTGTTGGAACACCGTCCCCCAGGGCAACCCCGATGCCAGCTGCAGAACTGGGCACAGCCGGGCTCCCCTGCCTGCTGTCACGTGCCCAGGGAGAGGACACACCTCATCGGTTTCCTCCTAGACCAAGGATCCCCCTTCCCTCCCTTCCAGCAGAAGCCATGTGAGGTTTCCCTGGGAGACAAGCTGGATCCCTGCTTCTCCGGCAGCATCTAGGGCCCACGGCCTCAGCGGTGCTGAAGGAAAGCCCCTAATCTGCAGAGGTGTCTCACTGCAGATAGCGGGCCTGTGATGCTCCCCCTCAAGTGCACAGACCGAGGTGGAAGGGAGATGAGCTGGTGCCACGTGCCCTCAGAGCCACGTGCCAAGGCTCGTTGATGACTCCGACTGCTGGACACAGGCACCGTGTGCTTTTCTTTGGTGGCCGTGAAGCTGGCACCCAGCGGGGCTTTCCAGACAGACCAGGTGGGTAGGGCTGAGGGCTGCTTTCCTTTGGGACTCTGCTAGCCACTCTCCCCTTGGGCCACTCCCAGCATCCCAGGGAGCCCAGGGTCATCGTGCCAGGACATTAGGCAGTACCAGGGTTGTGGCTGCCAAAGAGTCTCCTTTCTCCTGCCCAGAACTCTCTCCCTCCCCTCACGTGACTCCAAAACCAATATGCAGGATGGGAGCTTAGAATCTGCCTCAAATACACTCTGCTCACAACTAACTCCTGAATACAAGTTTTAAAATTATAATCACAACCAAGGGCTACTTACACTGACCAAGGGCTCAAAGCTCTTCCAGCGCTGAGTAGCGCCTGGAGTTTGTATTCTAGCTCTAAACGCAACATTTGTGGGGAAAGACCCGCGGCGTGTGGTTGGGCAAGATAATCAGCACTGGGGTGAGTGGCTGCCCCCTGCCCCTGATCATACTCACCGTCTCAAAGTCAGAGTCAAAGGTAATTGCGGACAGACTGTCATCTCCCTGGAAGAAGAGATGCAAACAATGAAATTTTAGGACACCTGCCTGTCCCCCCACAGCCACACGTACAAAGTGAGAAGAGCCCATCCACGGCTACTGAGGCAGTGACTCCAGAAACCTTCTCAGAGTAAGCTCAGAACATGCAAAGTGGGCAGGAGTCAGCCCGACCGGTCGCAGCACAAAGAATGGTGGCAGACAATGGCAGACGTAACACAAAGCTCCACCCGCTGGGGCTGCCTTGTGTCTGTCTGTCTAGCAGCGCCATGTCCACGGGTCTGCTATGTACTGTTGATAAAGAGACTGTTTTGGAGAAAGGGAACGCGCTTCACATTCTTACTCATCTTCACATCAAGGCACGAGGGACCTGGGACTGGACCCTGACAGGAACAAGTCAAAGTCCCTTGAAAACACGTGCATTAATACATGCGTTACTTGGACTCAGAAGGCTTCCTGCCCTGGCCCCGGGGGGTAAACTAAAACTTGTGCCTCCTCATTTCAGTATCGGGATGTCGTTTCCCGAGAGAAGACTCTGTGTTAACTCACTTAGTCAGGTTTAAATCCTAAAAAAAGAGAAAGGAGGAACAAACATTAAGTCTGTAAATGTCTGCTGGGTGGTGTGTTGTTGATTTGCGGCGAGGATGCCGGGAGTCAGGAACTGACGCCCATCGCCCGTCCTGGGAGCCGACAATACCACATGTGGCTGGTGAGCGTGTCTCAGCGAGCCGTGGGTGAGGCTGAAGCCACATGGTGTCGTTGTGGGACTCTGCCACCTTCTGAAAAGCACAAATACGGTCTGAGCCATATGGTCATAGTATAAGCACTTTAAGGAACAATTCTGCCAGCAGCTCGATGTTCCACTGTAAACATGGCTGTGCCGGGGTGGGGTGGGGTGGTGGGAAGCAGGTGAGGTGTCACTGTCAGGACAGGTCAGCCCTCCAGCCCGGAGATCTTAAACGCAGTGTCCGGACTAAAGGTGCGGTGTGACTTGATGTGGGACCAGGGGAAGGTAGTGTGCCCCAAATGAACAGAATCTTTTATCAGCCACTGACAAAGATTTTCTATGTCACTTAACAAGTGGTGTTGTCAGGCACAAAGAGCACCTGACCATCACACAGCATCTTCCGTGAGCAAAGTGTGCGAAAATGACACGCCACATTTAGGAAGGCGAGGCAGCGGGTCCAATGTACAGACCCCATGCCAGGTCAGAGGAGACGCGGTGGCATTTGCGCCGTGGCATTGCGAAGCACACGGCGAGTGTGGACCCGCTGGAAACTGCAGAGAGAAGTAGTGACAACTTTCTCTTGTGGACACTCATCATGATTTTGTGAACAAAATCCTGAAAACTGTTTAATGACCTGAAGGCTCAGCTCCCCGTGTGGTGAACAAGACCAAGTCATCTGTCTCCCACAGGCGGCTCACACACCCACCGTGCCTTCTCCCCAGCAGTCCTGCCTGGACCGAGACCGCAGAGCCGTCCCAGGCCCACCCCTTCAGGCCAGAGAAGACAGACCACAGGCGGCATCAAAAACGATGAACACAGTGATGCCCCTGAGCACGATCTGAGCTGCCAACACTTCTGTGCCAGAAGTTCCCTGGGCATCGGGAGCCCGGGGCAGCCGCAGGCAGGCAGGCGGAGGGCCCTGCAGGGCCCAGAGCAGCATTGCGCCTCCATGCGGGCCGTTGGTCACGCCACTGACCCCGTGCATACCAGCCTCCTTGGCAAACAATGACACGTTCCTCTACAGGATTTTTAAAAGCACTGACTAAACATCGGGAAAAAAGAGCGTGTCTAGAAGGAGACGGAGGAGCCCACTGGGGTTCAGTATGCGGCGTCAGCGGGGAAGGGATGCATTACCTAGGAGGGGTCTTCCAGAATGGGGGCGAGGAGCTCGGGTGACTTTCTCCTCCGCAAACAACCATTTAAGTTGTCATAAAACAATCAGTCCTTTAGGTTTCTGGAAATTGACCTAAGGGCATAGAGCAGTGGAGAAGATTCATTCAAGAAAATCTCCTAAATCTGGGGAAGAACAGTGGAAGTCCGGGCCATCCCTTGCCACCCGTCCCCCCCACCCCCCCGCCGGCTCTGTCCCATAGGGACTACTCCAGAGAGACGGGCTCTAGGTGGTGCAGGCGAGGTAGTGGTGAATGGTGGGGGGGATTCCCCTGCGCCCAGAAGTAGGGTGGAAGCCCAACCCCAGGAGCAGCAGGCTAAGAATTCTAGGTCCCCCGTGCCCTCACCCCAGCTTGCTTGTAGGGCAGAGGTTCCACACAGGGAGGGTCAGGCCCCTTCCCCCGGCCCCTCAGAGCAGGACTGTCACTCCAGGAGACCGTCCCTGCTGTCGGCTCCATCCCTGCTGTCGGCTCCGTGCAGTAGCACAGGGGACTGGCTGTGTTTGTAGTGCATAGTGGAGAATCCCAATGCCCCCCTGATTCTAATGCCAAGTCGAAGACAAGGGTGACGTGGTGGGGAGCCATGACCAAGCCCTCCTGGCTCTGTGATTTCAGCAGCAGGAAGCTAACCTGAAGAACAACCAGAAGTTTAACAGAGCCCAGAAGAGCCTTCCTGGGACCACAGTTGACCTTGAGGGCCAGGAAGGCTGCCTGCAGGCGCTAGACTGCATGCACGCAGCAGCTGGCTTCAGCAGGGCTTGGGAATGCTCCCCACACCGCACCTAGATCGACCACTGGCTGAATGCAACCTCGAAGTCGACACAGGCTGAGCAAGAACCTGCTCAGACACAAGAGCTGTTCCCAGGGAGCCGGGTAACGGCGCAATCACGCATCTCCCGAAGTCCGGAGGGCTGTGTGTGTGTCGAAGGCTGCCCACGCAGCGGGGACGGAGAGGAGCAATGCAAGCTACCAGTCCCTGCCTGCTGGTGGGCAAAACTGTGAAGTCCTGCATTGTGCCAGCAGCCTCCAAGCCACACGCGCACACATGCACATATGCACGCACCGCACACATGCATGCACACACAGTGTGACAGGCCAAGGGGCTGACCCACAGCCTTTGATCAAAAAATGGCTTGTTGGCCCAAGAGTGACCCTTAGGCAGTTAAGCAAAGAGATGCAAACAAGACAAACCTGCAGGGAATCAGAGGCTGCAGTGTGGGGACACTGACTTCAGAGTTAGTCCCGCCAAGTCACTTGCCAAAGCCGAACCGCAAACAAACACAAGTCCCATGGGGAGGGGGGATCACGACCCAGAGTTGCTGTAACATTCTATCTAAATGTCTAGCTTCCAACAGGAAACCAGGAGACACCCAGAGAAATAGCAAAGTGTGAGCATTCTAAGGGAAAAAAGCAACAGAAACTTTTGAAAGAGCCCAGATGATGGACTTAGCAAAGACTTCAGAGCACCCATTCTAAATATGTTCAAGCCATGTTGCTGTGAGGCTGCAGAATGATCTGGGAGTCAGAAGAGCACAGGGGTTGTGAGGGACAGGTCGGGGGCAGGGCTGGAGGGAGAGGAGATCTGAGGTCTGGCCAGGGGGCTGATAAAGAACCTTACCCATCGTAAATGTCTAATAAATGCCCTTATTGTCTTGTTCTAGAAACCGTGAGCTCTTTTTACAAGTGTTGGCTCTTAAGTCACCAGTGGCCCCACTCAGGCTCCACAGCATCCCTGTGGCTCTGTACTGTGGTCAGCGGGGCCGCTTACAGCCACTGCACGGTGGGCCCTCTGGCACACAGGAAGCACTCTGTGAAGTTCACGAGGAAGCCCAGAGGCAGCTCTCTTCCCAGGAACTTGGAAGATTGGACAGAATGGACAGTGCCTACTCTCAAGAGGTTCCTGTCTACCTTAGAACAGATGCAAGCTAGCGGAAAAGCCACAGGTTAGCCTGGACCAGGGGTGTCTCCTGGACCTGGAGAGAGCTTTACAACAATTCCCCCACGAGACCGGACTCCTTGAGACCAAGGCACCAAGAGCCTCACATGTAAGGGGCTTAAATATTTCTATGTGTGAGGATGTTTATAGTAGCACTGTTTCTAGTAGCAAAACAGTGACAAGAGAGTGAAAGCAGGGAAATGGATGAATAAAATAAAGGTGACCACAGGTTAGACTTTTTCAAATCAGGCTCCCGAAAACCTGTGGCTGTAGGAAAACGCTAGCAACAAATTAAATGGTAAAGGTTACAAAGCAAGTTAAATATGGTCTCGATTTTTTTTTTCAAAGGTGGGTGGGAAAAGATGCATCCCAAAAATATTGGAAGGAAATATACCAAACATTGATGAGGTCTTGTGCAAGTAAAGGGACTTTCTAAGTTTTCTCTAATGGTCATGAGGTTTACAATCATGACATAAGAAGTCACTTTCTAAAGATGAAGGGGCAGTAACTGAGTCCAGTGTAGGTGGGCCGGCCTTCCAGATGAGGCAGGACTCACTGCCTGGAGGGACACCCGGGCAAGCTCAGTCTCTCCCAGGGCCCAGCAGCACTGAGCCTCAGCCCTCACTGTACAGCCTGGCTGAGCGCTGGCCTCTCAGTGAGAAGGAAGCCAAGTGAGTAAAATTCCCTGTCTGGAGCCCTCCAGAGGCTTCTCACCCTCCCTACAATAAAATCCAAACTCCCTGCATGGCCTGCATGGCTCCCGCGGCCAGGCTGGTGCCCCCCTTCCACACACACCCCTTTTCCCCAGGAGGTCCCAGCAAGCTTTCTTTTTAGGCTCTGCAACACACCCCACTCTCCCACCTCAGGACCTTAGTACATGCTGGCCCCACCTCTCTCAGGTCTTTACCAGCCTGCCTCCTTCTCGTCCTCATCCAGGGTGTTCTCAGAGCGGCTGCTCCAGGCACCCCATCTAAGGCAGCCCTCTGCAACCCACCTCCATCACGTGGGGCCTGTTTTATTTTCCCCACAGCTCAGTCTCTGAAATGATCTTGGCGCTCTTTTTCCTGCCTTCTCCCCCTACGGGAATGCCACTTATCACCCACGTGGATGTCTCCCCTCCCAGCGGGTAGTGGGCGCACGGGAAACACTTGGGAAAGGCACGAGCTGACAGCACGCTTGCCCTCACCCAAAGGAGTAAACTTGGAGACGCCTCCCCACCCTGCGGAAGCCTTCTCTGATCAGCGCTGGGCAGGGAACTGTTGTTGGCGCAGTAGATTTTCGCCCTGCACACCCGGATGGCTCAGGCCGGCCGCTGCCCCCCGTCCCGGAGGCACGGGTGGGCCAGCACTTTCGCAGTATGCTCCGTTGCCCCGCGGGCCGCGGTAGCAGGTTCAGCACAGGCCAGGGCCTCGAAGGCACCGAGCGGCGAGGGCGCGGCGTCCGGGTGGGCTTCCTGGAAGCGGCGGCCCGTGCACGGGCTGGCGGGGTCTAGGGCCGGCTGGAGGCTGGGTGAGGGGCGGCGACGCCCGGCCGGCGGCACGCGGGCGGGGGCCGGATGGTCGCTCTTATGCGGTAACAATAATGGCAGCTGTCACCCGGTGGCCTCCAGCCGTGTGCCCCTTCCTCCGGCCGGCGCCTGGCCCCCAGAGCCGACGATCTGGAGGGGTCGAGGAGGCCCGCCCGCGCTTACCGTCTCCGAGGCCGGCTCCGCGGTGCCCAGCGACATGGCGGCGGCGCTGCCCGGCCGCCCCTCGGCGCTACGGGCGCGACTGTCGGGCTGTGCTGCTCCGCCGGCCGCCCGGCAGCCCGCAGCCTCCGGGCCTCCCTGCCCGCGCGCCTGCCGCGACCCCGCTGCCATGGTAACCGTGCCGCCCATACTGTCCCGGATGTGGCCGGCGCCAGGTTGCCCGGCCGGCCTTGCGCGTGCGCTGGGAAGCCCGCGGGCCGACTTGCAGGGCGCCCGGAGGTGCGGGGGAGGAGAGTCCCGCAGTGCTGAAGCCTCGGGAACGCGCTTAACGGTTCCAGGAGTGCGTCCCCCGCCTTCTCTAGTGGAGGCTCCGCCACAGGTCTGGGCGCTAGTCACAGAGCAGGATGCTAGTGTGTATTAGGTTATCGACAAGGCGCTTGTGCAGGCTTCTAGTTCTGGACACCTGGCATTCAGAAAATTATCCTCCCTGATCTCTATCTTAGGCTCTAGGGTTCTGATGCAGTAGCCCGAGGACAATAAAAAATAATGCGTTTGCATGGCACTCAGTGGGCATCATGACGATCGTTAGGAACATTGGGCTCCCTGAGTTCATTTAAATTATTATTAGCAAGTATGATTTGTTCTAGCTCCTTTATACAGGTGTCTGAGGGCACCTACTCTGTCCCCTCACCCCCGCTTTATTTTTCTAGCCATCTGACATTTATCATCTACAAGCGCATTCCATGTCTAGAATGTAAGCTGTCTGGGGCAGGGGCTTGGTTTTGTCCATAGCCTTTTCTCCATCCCTTGGAAGAGGGTCTGCCACAGAGCAGGTTCTCACTATGTATTTGGTGTCCGCGGAGTCCTGTAACTTTTCTCTGCTGCTGTTTCCCCAAACGTAAAGTGGAGAAAAGGGTTGTTGTGAGGATCGACTGAGTCAATATCTGTAAAGTGCGTAGAGAACAGTTGCCCATGCCAGAATGGGGGCAACGTGACCGTTTTCTTGATGTGGTGAACAAACGAATGAGTCCTCACCCACTGTAGTGTGTTGCAGCCGAAGTGCTGGCAGATTATTACTGCTTTAGTTCTGGCACCAACACATACTACAGGTTCATGGCTCTTTTCCTGGGTGTCCTCACCTGTACAACCGGGGGGAGGGGGAAGCCACTTTAAACTACCTATACACCTGTACCTCTTGCTCCACTCCTGGAGCGCCGCAGTCCCCCTGCCCTTCCTGATTCTGCTCTTCACTTACCTTCCCTCATTTCGTTACAGACGGTAACATGTCTACAAGTTTTTAATCTGCTGTTCTGAATTCTGAAAACTTGAAAGCTTTTCAAAATTCATTAGTTGGCCAAACTGTTCTGACCTGAACTCACTTGTCAACAAAAGTCTGAACTGAGGCCATTCATAGTTGCTTATTTATTCCACCTGGAGTGTATGTTAGTGTGACCGCGGAATCTTTAATGCATTATATGGTGGGCTCCATCAAACCCTACTGGGATTGTAATCTCACACACAATGTATATGTACCACGTAACTTCTCTTATGTGTGAACAATTATGAATTCTGAACCTTGTGTCCCTAAAAGTTTCAGGTAAGAAATTGTGGGCCTGTATAATCTAATATTCAACTCTGGAGCCAGAATGCCTGTGTTCAGATCCAAGCCGTGCCAGCCCACTGGCTATGGGACCTTAGAAGTTAGCCTCTCTGCACCTCCCTTTCCTCATGGGGGGGGGGGGCGGGCGGGGATGATGACAGTACCCTCCCTCCTGGAGTCAGTGCAGAAATCACCCGAGCTTCTAGTAAGTGAAGCACTGAGCACAGTGCCACTGTTAAGATGCTTTTCCCCCACAAATGCTCGATCATGCAAAGAGAGTATCCCCATTTTTACAGCGAGGAACCACAATTCGGGGAAAACTGTGCAGTTCAAACCTTTTCACCCAAGTGCGTCTAAGGGGCGGGGTGTCCTAAGTGATTACCCAGCAAAGTCCATGTTTTTAAAGTTCCTTTTTATTTTATTTCAGTACCCATAGGAATTTTCTTTCTATATCCTAATACATACCTGGTGTTTCCCCCCCAAATAGTGCTGAAACACTGACGCTACGGGAAGATGAAACTTGGTTTTATCCTGAGGGCTCAGTTAATGAGGCCAAAGGATCAGGGACTTCGCCTTCATCCTTTCCGGCACCTGCTTCCTCCACGTCTGCCCGCCCTGACTCCTGGTACCTTGGCTGGAAAGGCCACGCCTTTTCCGCCAGTAGCTTCGCTCCTTCCGCTGGAAGTCCCGCCTTCTGGCGCGATGCCCGCCGGGCGCTCGGGCACGTACCACCAAGCGTCCCTGTGAGGGTGATGGGCCGGAGCCACCGGTTTGCGGCCGGCCTGTCTCAGTGCTTCTCAGCTTGAGCTTTTTCCCCAGGAGTGGACCCTCGGGGCTGCCGGGTGGCCTTCCGAGGACGTTCACGGTTTTCCCCGGCCGCCGACCCTGCGCTCGCCCCCTGCAGACCCGGCAAGTGGCGCGGCCCGGGGCGGGGCCCGAGGCGGCGGGGAGGGCGGACGCGGAGCCGCCGAGGCGCGCTCTCGGGGAGGGGTGGCGGACCACCGGAGTCGGGACGAGGAGCTAGGTGTCCTGGTGCTCCCTGGAGCCAGCCGGACCGCGGCCGCCGCCTAGTGCCCCCTCTGGGCCCTTCGGGCGGCCGGGGCCCGACGCAGATGCGCAGTCCTCAGGGAGGGCTCCCATCTCAGGGACCAAGCCTCACTGGGGACGGACAAACAGACCCACTCCCGGCTGCGAGAGAGCCCTCCCTGACCGCGTGACCGACGGGCTCCCTGTCCCCTCCCAGGCGGGACACGCAGGTGCACACGCTGGCGGGAGAGACGGACCCGGCACGGCGCGCCTTCTGCCCTGCACTCTGCTGGCTGCGGGGTTGTCCGATGCAGACCTGCTGACCCCTGGCTAGACGCTCTTCCCCTGTCCGCGCGCCTCGCGCCAAAAGGCCCGCACCCCAGACTGGCCCAAGCGCTGTTGGGGTGAGCATCAGCTGTTCCCCTCCCACCAGAGTTCGGGGTGGCAAGCTCTGAGCTCCTGAGACCTCGTGGTTTACAGCAGACTCCTTTCCAGCCGGGGCGGCCAGAACTCAGGGCCCTGCTAGCTCTGGACCACCTCCCAGTATCACCCAGGCTGAGGGTTAGCATTCCCCCCGCCCCCCTCGGCCGCACTCCCTCCGAGGATTGTGGTCCTGCAACCCCTGGCCTGCGGTGGAAGTTCTGGGGCCTGAGCGGACACCGGGGCTGCCTGTGACTAGGGTTGGGGGTGCCTGGCCCTGGCCTTTTCTTTGCAGGCGTCTCCAGCCTAATCATGGACCCAGAGTGCTCCCAACTCCTCCCGGCTCTCTGTTCTGTCCTGGCCGACCCCAGGCAGCCTGTGGCAGATGACACCTGTTTGGAGAAGCTGCTTGACTGGTTTAAAACCATCACTGAAACCGGTAAGTGGAGGGTGCTGCCGTCGTCTGTCCGCTCAGAGGCCGGAGGGTGCATGGGACTCCCCTGCCCAGGGAAAGGGTTGCCCATTGGGTTCCCTTCCTTCACAACCTGGAGACTGATTCCCCTTGGCGAGTTGGGGACACATCCAGTTGAAGCTTGAGTGAATGAGTAGGAGAACTTGATCCTGACGTTGTTAAGCTGCTTCCAGCTCTGATTCAGGCATCCTCTTGTCCAGTTCACGCCAGGTGGCTGCAGGGGGCATGGACAGACTTAGTCTGTTGTCATTGCACTTACTTTTTTAGGAAATAGTCTTTTCTTATCATAAAATTAATACACATCCTTTAAACTTTGAGAGACACAAAGCCATAAAGAGGAAAATTAAACAACCATCAACTTTTTAATTTCCTTCCGGCCTTTGTCCCTAACCATACTACAGCTGCGTTTTTCTTCTTTCTTTTTCTTTAATTTTTAAAGTTTATTTTTGGGAGAGAGAGAGGGAGCAACCGGGAGAGGGGCAGAAAGAGGGAGACGCAGACCCAGTATGGGGCTCAAAACCAAAACCGCGAGATCATGACCCGAGCTAAAGGTGACACTTAACCGACTGAGCCACCCAGGTGCCTCCAGCTGCATTTTTCTTGTAAAAATGAAGCGACACCATAAAGTTCGGTGTCTTGCCTTTTCTCTGTTAAGCATTAGAGTGGGTATTTTCTCTGTGAAACACACTGACTTTATCGTGTGGCATTAATTGTGTGAATGGACCATAATGGGTATAATCACACCAGTGTTACTAGGGTTTGTGTTTCTGATGATCCTTATCGGAAATAATGCCCTAATGGCAGATGTTTGATCTCCTGGCTGGTAATTGCCTTAGGGTAGATCCCATACCATTAATTTCTGCTATTTGTTAATTTGTCTTACCCTGCACTTTTACTCTCTTCCGAGTTAAATATCTAAATCTTTCTTGTTTTCTAATATATGCACCCAAGGCTACACCCTTTTCTGAAAGCATCATTTTAGCTGTGTCCTTTAAATTACTTTTGCTGTAATTTATCTCCAGATATTTCATACTTTTTACCAAGATCTTTTTTCTTCAAGGGCAAATGATTTAGAAGAGTTCATCATTTAGATTTACAAAATGGATTTTTTTCAGTGTTTTTATTATTGATTTCTAATTTATTTCATTGGACTTGGAAAATATTCACGTTTTGATTCCTTTGTATCTGTCAAGGATTTTGTCGCAGCAGAGTACCCCGTTTTCACAAATGCTCTCTATGTTCTGCTATATGCTGCCGTTTGTGTTATTTGTAGAGTCCTCATTGTGACCTAGTTTGTAGTCAGATTTTCAAAATTACTTTCAGACAGGTTTCTGTATTTTTTATTATAATTTTTAAAAAAAAATTTAGAGAGACAGCACGAGTTGGGGAGAAGGACCTAGGGGGAGAATCTTAAGGAGGATCCACACTCAGTGAGGGAGCCCAACCTGGGATTCAACCCTACAACTCTGGGATTGTGACCTGAGTGGGACACTCAGCTGACTGAGACCCTAGACAGGTTTCTTCGAGGTATAATTTACGTACGGTGGAATTGACCCAAAGTGTGTAATTGATTGGCTTTTAGTAAAGCCACGCACAGGCTCATTGCCACGGTGTAAAGCTTGGTGCCCAGTAGCAGTTCACCTGCCCCCCCCGCCCCGCCCCCAGCCTGTGCTCTGTGGTCCTTAGGGCTCCACACGGTGAGAGAACTGTGTCCACACTCGCTCCTGATTCAGGTTTACGTTGTGCAGTCCTGCTGTCCTCTTGCTCATCGGTTTTCTTGGTTGTTTCTAAGTGAGAGATGAAGACCCTGCCCCAAGATGGTGGATTCAACCCTTTTCTCAATATCCTGTTCTGTTCTCCCCTTTGCACACTTTGAAGTGAGCCCGGGTAGGTGCAGGCTCTTCCTCTGCCGACCAATGACTTTTTTCCTGAAGCACCGATAACACCTTTTGCTTTAAAGTCGGGTTTGTTACATGCTCCTCTTGCTGCGGCCACGCTGCAGAAGCAAGCCCTTGGCAGAGCACCTGCGGCGCCAGAAGCCCGGCCTTTGTGCGCCAAAGGCTGTGCTACTTCCTGGCTTCTCGGAGACGCTGTGCTGCCGGCTTGGGTGTCAGCTGCAGGTGAGCAACTCTTTTAACAGACTGTCTGCTTCATCTGTGGAGCTTACTGTTATCTTGGGGTCTGTGTTCTTTCGTTTTTTAAAAGATCACCAGGCCTTGTCTTTGTTTCTTTTTCCTCCTTTTCTGCCCTCCATTGGATTGATAAAGCTTTTGTTTTTAAATGTTTTCTTTTTCTGGTTTGGAAGTTATGCATTCCACTCTTGATTTTAGTGGTCACCCTTACACACAGACTGGATATAAAAAGTCAGAGGTAACTAGAATCTGTCTCTCCTGTTCCGACAGCGCAGGGACCTCAGGGCACTTTAACTCCAGCCAAGCCTGGTCCTCTCTTCTTTTGTTGTCTCCTCTTCTGACTCCCATCTTGTTTTACAACAGTAAAACCTTTTACTTTTTTTTTTTTTTTTTTAAGTTTAAATCCAAGTTAGTTAGCATACGGTGTAATGATAATTTCAGAAATAGAATTCAGTGACTCATCAGTTACACGTAACACCCAGTGCTCATCCCAGCTAGTGCCCTCCATTTAGCCCATTGCCCATCCAACTCACCTTCAGCAACCCTCAGTTTGTTCTCTATATTTAAGAGGATTCTCTTTTCTCCACCTCCTCGCCAGCATCTGTCGTTGCCTGAGTTGTTTATTTTAGCCATTCTGACAGGGGTGAGTTGGTAACTCATTGTGATATTGATTTGTATTTCCCTGATGATGAGTGATGTTGAGCATTTTTTCATGTGTCTGTTAGCCATCTGGGTGTCTTCTTTGAAAAGTGTCTATTCATATCTTTTGCCCATTTCTTCACTGGATTATTTTCATTTTGGGGTATTGAGTTTGATAAATGCTGTATAGATTTTGAATACTAACCATTTATCCAGTGTGTCCTTTGCAAATATCTTCTCCCATTTTGTTGGTTGCCTTTTAGTTTTGCTGATTGTTTCCTTCGCTGTACAGAAGCTCTTTATCTTGATGGGGTCCCAGGAGTTCTGTTTTTGCTTTTGTGTCTTGCTTCCGGAGATGTCTTGAGTAAGAAGTTGCTATGGCCGAGGTCAAAGAGATTGTTGCTTGTTTTCCCCTCTAGGATTTTGATGGCTTCCTGTCTTCCATTTAGGTCTTTCATCTGTCTTGAGTTTGTATATTGTGTAAGAAAGCGGTCCAGGTTCATTTTTCTGCATGTCACTGTCCAGTTTTCTTAGCACCATTTGCTGAAGAGACTGTCTTTTTTCTATTGGATACTCTTTCCTGCTGTGTCTAAGATAAGTTGGACATACGTTTGTGGGTCTATTTCTGGGTTCTCTATTCTGTTCCATTGATCTCTGTGTCTGTTCTTGTGCCACTACCATACTGTCTGATTATTGATTATTACAGCTTTGTAATACAGCTGGAAGTCCAGGATTGTGATGCTACAGCTGTGGTTTTCTTTCTCAGAATTGCTATTCAGGGTCTTTTCTAGTTCCATACAGATTTTAGGGTTATTTGGTCTAACTCTGTGAAGAATGCTGGTGTTATTTTGATAGGGATTACACTGAATGTGTAGATTGCTTTGGGTAGTACCGATACTTTAACAATGTTTGTTCTTCCAATCCATGAGCATGGAATGTTTTCCCATTGTTTTGTATCTTCTCAGTTTCTTTCATAAGCTTCCTATAGTTTTCAGTGTATAGATTTTTCACCTCTTTGATTAGGTTATTCCTAGGTATTTTATGGTTTTTGGAGCAATTGTAAATGGGATCAATTCCTTGATTTTCTGCTGCTTCATTATTGGTGTATAGAAATGCAACCATATTTCTGTGCATTCATTTTACATCCTGCAACTTTGCTGAATTCATGGATCAGTTCTAGCTGTTTTTAGGTGGAATCTTTTGGGCTTTCCCTATAGGGGATCATGTTGTCGGCAAAGAGTTGAAAGTTTGACCTCGTCATTGCCGATTTGGATGCCTTTTATTTCTTTGTGTTGTCTAATTGCTGAGGTTAAGACGTCCAATAATATGTTGAATAACTGTGGCGAGAGTGGACATCCTTGTCATGTTCCTGACCTTAGAGGGAAAGCTCTCAGTTTTTCTCCATTGAGGATGATATTAGCAGTAGGTCTTTAATATATGACCTTTGATCTTGAGGTAGGATTCTTCTTTCCCTGTTTTCTTGAGGGTTTTTATCAAGAAAGGATGCTGTATTTTGTCAAAAGCTTTTTCAGCATCAATTGAGGGGATCATGTGGTTCTTAACCTTTCTTTTGTTAATGTGATATGTCACATTGATTGATTTGCAGATATTGAACCAGCCTTGCATTCCAGTTAATAAATCCCACTTGATTGTGATGGATAATTCTTTTTTTTAAATAGTTTATTGTCAAGTTGGTTTCCATATAACACCCAGTGCTCATCCTGAATAATTCTTTTAATGTATTGTTGGATCCAGTTTGTTAGTATCTTGAGATATTTTTACATCCATGTACATCAGGGAAATTGGTCTGTAGTTCTCCTTTTTAGTGGGGTCTTTGTTGGGTTTTGGAATCGAGGTACTGCTGGCCTCATAAAATGAGTTTAGAAGTTTCCCTTCCATTTCTGTTTTTTGGAACAGCTTCAAAAGAATAGGCGTTAACTCTTCTTTTTTTCATATTTTTTAAAATGTTTTTTATTTATTTCTGAGAGAGAGACAGCGTGAACAGGGGAGGGTCAGAGAGAGAGGGAGACACAGAATCCAAAACAGGCTCCAGGCTCTGAGCTGGCTGTCAGCACAGAGCCCGGCGCGGGGCTCGAACCCATGAACTGTAAGATCATGACCTGAGCCGAAGTCGGACGTTTAACTGACTGAGCCACCCAGGTGCCCCGACTCTTCTTTAAATGTTTGTTAGAATTCCCCTGGACTCTAGTCTGTTGGGGGATTTTTGATTACTGATTCAATTTCTTTACTGGTTACAGTAAATTTCTGTAAGATTTCTATATCTTGTTGCAGTTCTGGTAGTTTATATGTTTCTAGGAATTTGTCCATTTTTTCCACATTGCCCAATTTGTTGGCATACAATTGTTCATAATATTCTATTATTATTTATATTTCTGTGGTGTTGGTTGTGATCACTCCTGTTTCATTCACGGTTTTATTTATTTGGGTCCTTTTCTTTTTCATTGTGATCAATCTGGCTAGGGGTTTATCAATTTGTTAATTCTTTCAAAGAGCCAGCTCCAAGTTTCATTGATCTGTTCTACTGTGTTTTGTTTTGTTTTTTAATTTCTATATCATTGATTTCTGCTCTGATCAGTATTTCTCTTCTGCTGGTTTGGGGCTTTGTTCGCTCTTCTTTTTCTAGCTCTTCCAGGTAGAAGGATAGGTTGTATATTTGATACCTTTCTTCCTTCTTTAGGAATGCCTGAATTGCTATATACTTCCCTCTTTTGACCGTGTTTGCTGCATCCCAAAGGTTTTGGGCTCCGATATTTTCATTTTCATTGGCTTCTGTGTACTTTTTAATTTCCTCTGTAATCTCTTGGTTAACCTGTTCATTCTTCAGTGGGATTTTTTTTAAATGTTTATTTCTGAGAGACAGAGAGATAGTGTGAGCAGGGGAGGGTCAGAGAGAGAGGTTGATACAGAATCTGAAGCAGGCTCCAAGCTCTGAGCTAGCTGTCAGCACAGAGCCTGACGCAGGGCTCGAACCCATGAACCATGAGATCATGACCTGAGCCGAAGTTGGACACTTAACCAACTGCACCCCTAGTGGGATGTTCTTTAATCTACCAAGTATTCATGGTCTTTGCCAGATTTTTCTTGTGGTTGATTTTGAGTATTCATAGCGTTGTGATCTGAAAGTATGTGAGGTGTGACCTTGATCTTTTTTGTACCTGTTGAGGGTTGATTTGTGTCCCACTGTGTGATCTGTTCTGGAGAATGTTCCATGTGCACTCAAGAAGAATGTATTCTGCTGCTTTAGGATGAAATGTTCTGAATATATCTGCTAAGCCCATTCCAGTCTGGTGTGTCATTCAAAGCCATTGCTTCCTTGTTGATTTTCTACTTAGGTATCTGTCCATTGCTGGAAGTGGGGTATTGAAGTTCCCTGCTAGTATAGTATTACTATCAATGAATTGCTGTATGTTTGTGATTAATTGATTTACATATTTGGGCGCTCCTTGTTGGGGGCATATTTACAATTGCTAGGTCTTCTTGGTGGATAGACACCTTTGTTATGATATAATGCCCTTTCTCATCTCTTATTACATCTTTCTCGTACAGTTGTGTCTGTCTGATAGAGTGTGGGTCCTCCAGCCTTCTTTTGGTGATCATGATAGATGGTTCTGCAGCCCTTTTAAAGTCAGTGCTTTTTAGATTTACCCAGGTGTTTACTGGCTTCTTTGATTTGTCCTTCTCTGTTCTGCACCCTCTTCTTTTTCCTTTTTACTGAACCACGTTCTTTGCGAGTTATGTCATCAAGGGCCTCCCAGTGGGAAACTTCCACCCTGTGCCCCAGTTCTCCTTCTCCCGCCTTGACACTTCTGAACAGCATGTGGCTGAGTAGCCAGCTCCGATGCCTCTTCGCGGTCCTCCCTCACATAGAGTGCTCTCGGTTTAAGGCAAAAGTATCCATTTGAGAAGTAAAGACAGTCTTCTGCTTTAATTTGCATTCCTTCTTGTACCCAACAAGATAGAGCGCCCTTGGGTTTGCTGGCCGTTTGTGTTTCCTGTCCTCACTGCTCACGTGATGGGGGTGATACTCGCCAGTATGTGGCCTCTTACTGTGTTGACGCGATGACTCCATTGTCACGGTTGTTGCACGTATCTCCCCACCCCCCCCGCGATGACCGAATCCAGCTGCGGGAGAGGAGTCTGGGGGGTTGCCCAGGGAAGGTTGATCGCTGGGCCTCAGTGACACTCCGTGCGGCCGGGTCTGCTGCAGGGTCCAGCCTGCTGTTGGTACAGGAGAACCCCTGCCTGGTGACGCTGCTATGCCACGTGCTAAAGCCCCAGGACCTGAGTCCTCGAGTCCTCGCCTTCTCACTGCGCCTGGCGGGTGTGCTTGCAGCTCATGAAGATTGTTTCCAGTACCTGCAGGTGAGCCTGGGACCTCCCACTGAGCAGCCCACTGAGAAGGACACGGCTTTCTTCTCATGCACGCGCACGCAGCAGGGCGGCTGTCTCGACCCCTGGGTCTCCGAGACGTGGCTTGCCCTGTGTTTTGACTTGCACCGCAGGGTTTTTATTCCTGAGTGTAATCCTTCTTTTGAAAAGCTTTTGGAATGACGGGGTGAAAGGGTAGAGTTTTTGAGATAAGACAGAGCTGGGGTTGAATCGGCTCTGACACTTGCCCTCTGCACGGACTTGGCCGTGAGCCCTCTGGGCCTCAGTGTCTTCCTGTGACAGGAGAGCTGTACATGTCACATAGACGGTCACGCGGCTTAACCGAGACCATTCGTCCAGCACTTAGTCCTCTTGGACAGATGGGTGAGGGCCTAGTGAGAATCTCTACCTAGTGATAAGGCAGGGGGCTTGGGGAGCCCCTCCCCCCCAGCTGTGCACCCGACAGCTCTTCACACCATTCGACGGGCACGGATTCGTTGCACGGTGCCTGACATAAGCCTGGCCAGCCCTGCGACGGCATCTCTTGGCTCCTGGACCTCACGGCTCGGGTGGAGGCTCACCATTCCTCTCTGGCACAGTGTGTGAAGAGCCCTGGGAAGGCCACGCTGTGCTGGAGTCGCCTGATGAGGGGACAGCAGTGGGGACGGGATGTGTCCTCCCAGTAACCCTGGGTGCCATTCCCGGACGCTGCTCGGTTGGGCGGTGCAGTCCCTTGAGCAGTGCAGCCGGCACCAGCCTGCTGTGGGACCCATGCCGCTGAAGGGTTTGGGGCCTGACTGCTTGCTGCCCTCGTGTCGCGTGTGGATCAACCCTCATGTGCCCACAGAACCTGCAGCTTATCCGCCTCTTCGGGGTTTGCAGAACCATGTTCATTTATCCTAGGAGCTCTGGCCAGTGAGCAGCTCGGCACTCTTTACCTTTGTTTCCTAGATGAGGAAACCACGGAGGCTTCATGTAAGAACCCGCAGGAGCCGCGGGGCTCCCCCTAGAACCTGGGGAGTCCGCTGCCGGCAGTGAGCAGACCTGAGGGGCCTGGGCCGGGTGCAGGCTCGCAGTCAGCAGGGAGAGGCTGCTCTTCTGTCTTCTGGGCCCGTGCTGGGCTGGCCTCCTGTCCCTTTCTTGGCTGCCCCTTCACAGCCCCACAGGCTTGTCAGCCCACTGCCCAGCCGGGGACAGTATCTAGGCAGGGGACCTGCAGACCGACTACTCAAGGGAGGGGCTGCTGGAGTCCTTGTTCCCACTCACTGGCTAGCAGCTGCCCTGGGGAGGGGCTGTAACCTGAGGAGGAGCCCCCTTGGGTGACAGCATTCTGCTGGCAGTGGCTGAGCAGGATGCCCAGTGGCCCAGGCAGGGCGCAGGCTCTGACCACGTGTCTCCTGTGGGCCTAGGAGAGGCTCAGGGTGAATGATCGCACTCGTGAGCAACGCCGGCAGCTTCGGGGCTTCCTGCACGTTGTGCTAAAACCCAGGAGTGAACGAGAACATAATGCCTGTGGCAGGAAGGCCACCATATGTGTTCCTAAGCCACTGCCAGCTTGGGAAGTGGGTGTCAGCTTTCTGGGAGCAGTGGGCTTGCGGCTGGGTTGTGAAGGGTTTGAACAGGTGCGGGGAAGCAGGGCAGGTCTGACAGAGGTGTGCCAGGGCATCTGGGATGGGGGGCACCTGGAGGAGGGCGGCTGCCTTGGTGGACCCTACATGCCAAGCTCAGGAGTTCAGTAGTCTGTGGAGGCCGTTGAGGCTCTGTGAGCACAATGTCATGGTCAGAGGCGGAAGTTCAGAGATGGAGTTCATGGTCCTGTTCTTCGGGGGGAGCATTTCTGAAGTAAACTGACAGGAGTGATAGACCTTCATTTACAACCCAGACCTTCTGGTGTCCTGGAAGGCAGATCTGGCGGCGCTGGGGCTGGTGTGGCTGCTCTGGTGGCCACCTGTCACTTCCCAGAAGCCTGGATGCCCGGGTTGGGGGGCTCTTTGTGTGACATTGAGTGAGAGAGCCCCCTGGACAAGTGCCTTGACTAGCCCTAAAGATAGAAAAGCCATTTCCCATGTACCCATCTGCTGGGAACGCGCCCAGGTCACCACTTCCTTCTCCGCTTTCCAGCAGGGGGAGTTGCTGCCCAGCCTCTTTGGGGAGGCAGGACCCCTGGGAGGAGCCGCCTGGGCTGCCCCCACCGTGCGCAGTGGCTGGATCCAGGGCCTGCGCTCCCTGGTGCGGCACCCCAGTTCCCTGCGCTTCCTGGCCCACTGTGGTGAGTCCCCTGCCTGCTCCTCCTTCATGCGCCAGAGAGATCGCTGCAGCTTGCCGGGCCACGTGGGGTAACCGGGTGGGGGGTGGTTAGAGACCCCTCGAGGTCCCCGCCACGTGCTTCAGCTTGCAGGTCAGACCAGCAGGTAGGATGACTTTGAATCTCACTAGAATCCAAAGCTTCCTTCCAAGAGTCGAGAACTGCTTACGTCCATTCCTGTTCCTCTGCCTCTAAGCGGAGGGGAGGCGGGGGCCCTGGCGGTGCCCCCTGTGGCTTACAGTGTTCATTCACACTCTTTCCCTGAGGCTCCCAAGTGTGGCAGTTAAAGCCGCTTTGGATTCCGTTCCATCTGAACCCCGTTTTCTTCTCTCCCTGCCCCTGTCCCCAACCCCAGGTGCCGTTGACACCATCTTCTCCCTGCAGGGAGACTCCAGCCTGTTTGTGGCCTCGGCAGCCGGGCAGCTTCTGGTGCACATCCTGGGCTTGTCTATGCAGGGCTCGGCTGAGGGACACCCCAGCCTGCCACCAGCTGATTGGCCGGCATGTGCCCAGAAGATCGTGGGTCACATCGAGGAGTCCTTGCGTTCCGCGGCCACCCCGCAGATCGCACAGGCTCTAAATGTCCTGACCACCACGTTCGGGCACTGCCATGACCCTTGGACGCAAGTCCTGTGGGTGCGGCTGAGTCCCCTTGTGGCCTGTCTGCTCGAGAAAGACCCCGTCCCCGCTGCACACTCGCTCGTGGATCTCCTCCTCAGCGTGGCCCGGTCAGTCCTCTGGGCTGCAGCTGGGAGTGGGCAGGACTTAGGGGCGCTTGTTTCCCTCGGGAAGCCTTAGGGTGGCTGTCACACCTGAGGCCACCGCCTGGGCCAGAGGGAACAGCAGATGAGGTCTGAAAGCCCACACATCTGGGAAGGTTCCATCTCAGCTGGGCATGCGTGGCCCCAGGGCTATGGCAGTCCCACTGGACACTGCACAGGCTTTGGGGGGCAGGACAAAGAAATCACCTTCTTTCTGGGGTTTTCTGCAGGTCTCCTGTGCTGAGTTCTTCCAGCTGTGGTCTGTGGGAAACTTTGGCACAGACTCTGAGCCGCCTGAGCCCCACCCAAGCAGGGCCGTTGGCTCTGGGGATCCTGAAACTGCAGGAGTGGTAAGGATTGGGGGTTATTTTATGCAAGGACAGGCCATGGCTGAGGGCCAGGGGGCTTCCAGGGAGCTCTGAGAGCAGGGAAGAACCAGAGGTGGCCAGAGGCAGTGTAGTCGGGCAGGATTTCAGGCATCGCAGAGGCAGTGCCATAGGCTGCGGCTTCCTGCATGCTGTACAGACAGAATTATTTCAGACTAAAGCTTTGTAGGCTCCCCAGAGATAGAGCAGACTCTCGGAGTTGCTCTGCCCATACACAGGCTAGGTTCGTACCCCAGGTCCTCTCACTCTGCTGCCCTCTGCTTCCCTCCCCTCCCCAGCGACCCTAGCTTGTAGATCCTGGACTGCGTGGTGTGTGTGTCACTGGGGCGGCTACTAGGGGCCCTGGGACAGTAGCGGGGAGCCAAGAGGCCTGAGTGGCTGGACGGTTTGCTGCAGGAAAGGGAAGGACGCGTGGGTCCAGAGACTGAAAGAACAAGGAGATCGTTGCAGGCACATGAGAGGTGGTCGTGTTGGCCCAGGTTGGGGGTAAAGGTCGCCTCAGGACCGACTCCCCAGCGGGTCTGGGTGTCTGACATGGGCCTGGCTCCAGGCTCTCTCGGCTCTCCAGGTGTTCAGGAAGAGGTAGTGTAGAGGGGTGGGGGCAGACAGCTGGCCCCGGGGGGGTTCTGTGCTAGTGTAGCCCCCCACCCCACCCTGAGCCTGAGGACCCCAGAGATGGAATGGCAGGGGCTTCCCCGGGATGTGGGCCCTCCTGTTCCCCTGGCCCCAAGTGGGCACTGTCCACTGCAGCACGTGTGACCAGGCCCTCACAGGGCTGTTCCTGAGGCCTGGGGTAGTGCTCCTGTGGAGTCCGACATTGGCAGCCTGCGTGCTGGTCAAAGAAGCTGTTTCTCCAGGAAGCGTCCAGAACTCCATCACAGCCTATTTGTCCCAGACTTACTGGGGACGTTAGGGGGGCCGCTGGCTCACCTGGGGTTGGGAAGTAGCACTCACCGTGTCCTCTGTGTTCAGCCCCCAGGCGCTGAGGGCCCAGGCCTTTGCTGTCCTTCTCCAGCCCCTGGCCTGTGTCCTTGAAGCCACTGCTCCGGTCATTGGACTCCCAAGTACGCTGCTTCCTGCAGGTGGACCAGTGCAGGAGGGTGGCCCCGGGGTCCTGCGCGTGTCTGTGGTGTGGGGTCAGCGAGTGTTGGAGTGGAGGCTGTTGTCACACGTGGCTGCCGCTCTTCTCATGTCCCTGCCCTGGGATTGGTGGGGTAGCCTCCCCACAGTAGGCGTCAGCTTGCGTGGCCCCAGAGCAGCTGGGTGGTTACTGCGCCGTGTGGTGGTTCCCAACCCAGAATGGGCACATGGCTGACCCTTGTCCCCTGGACGCTTCTGGATTCTGTGACCAGGGCGGAGCAGGTGCCCTACCTTTAGCCTTGCTTCAGCCACACGGCATGTTGAGGATTAGTGAGGGGGACCCAGGGGTGCCTGGTGGCCCCATGTCGAGCACAGGGACGAGCATCCTGAGTGGTGGGATTGGCCCAGGAGCGGGCTAAGGGGAGAGCTGGGCTTGATTGCTCGGGAGCCCTGCGGACGGGCTCAGAGCCCAGGTCTGCCAGCCCATGTCACCCACTGGGTGTGTCACCCACTGGCAAGCTCTGGTCTTGGTCTCCAGTGCGGGGTGGCAGCCACAGAGCCCGCGGTGGCCACGTGGGAGGCGCCACTGACGGAGCGCTGCTTCTGGCTTGGCCTCCAGGCTCACCAGATGGCACTGCTGGTGCGTCGCTGACGGCGGACTCGCTCCTCCCCTCCAGGGCGGCCTGCGTGGGTCTCCTGTGCCGGACGCTGGCCCACCTGGAGCTGCTGCAGCCACTGGTAAGTGTGGCCCTGGCCTGTGCCCACAGCAGCAGCAGGCCTCCACCTGCACTGACTCTCCCTCTCTCCCAGCCCCAGCGCCCCTCTCCCTGGCCTCAGGCGCCCCTGCTCGGCGCCGCAGTGACCGTACTGCGGCTCTGCGATGGTTCGGCAACCCCCACGTCTGATGCGGGGCGCCACCTCTGTGCGTTCCTGGTGGGCTGCGTGCGGGTCCAGCGAGCGGCCCTCGATTTCCTGGGGACACTATCTCAGGGGGCAGGTGAGCAAGCGTGCCCCTCAGGCCCCATCTACCTGCTGTTCAGCTACGCCTGGGGCTGCCGTCCTGCGTCTCCTCTAGCACACAGGCAGCCTTGGCCGATGGTGGGTTCTGCGCCTGCTTCCTGGCGCTGACACTTGATGCTGCTGGGGCCCCTGGAGGGAAGGTCGTGCTTCATCCTTGTCTTTCCCAGGGCCCCGGGAGCTGGTGACACAGGTGTTCGCTGTTCTCCTGGAATATCTCACAAGCCCAGACTCCAGCCCCACGGTACAGGCACAGGGTGTGGGGGGAGGGGGAGGCGCGCGGGGAGTGGGGAGAGGCGCGTGGGGAGGGGGAGGTGCGTGGGGAGGGGGGCAGGCACGCGAGGAGGGGGAGGCGCGCAGGAGGACCCCTGCAGGCCTCACAGGACAGGGCCTTCTGTGGGGCCAGAGTCGCTGCGTGAAGTGAGTTTGGAGGGCCGGCAGCGGCACAGGGCCCAGCCCAGTGAGGACCAGCGGTGAGGGCTGAGCGCCGGGGAGGCCAGGCCGCGGAAAGCAGAGCTCTCTGTGCGAGAAGGAAGCTGGAGCCAGGTGGCCCTCCACTTGGGATCTAAACTGCAGGGTTTTCTGCCTCCAGGGTGGTGGGTGGGGCTCGGGTGGCAAGAGTTATGCCACCTGCTACCAGGCGAGCAGTTTGGGACAGAGGCCTGGCGAGTTCCCAGGGCTTTGAGGAGGGGGCCTTGGAGAGTTTCCAGGTCTTGGTGTGGAAGCCCCATCTCCCCAGCAGCAGGGCGTCCTGCCCCTAGCAGCCACCCCCGCCTCTTGTGAGCCGGGATGCCCCTTCTGCCTCTGCCTCGGGCTGCCGCCTTGGAGAGTGAAACCTGGTGCTGCCTTCTTCCTGAACCTGGGGTCCCACCTTGTACCCCAGAGCAGGGGCAGGGGCACAGTGAGGGCAGAGGGGCAGGCAGGCCAGCTTGTCCCTCACCGCCCTGGCCCTGTGGCCCTGCTTTGCCTGCTCCAGGTTCTGAAGAAGGCTTTCCAGGCCACATTCCGGTGGCTCCAGAGCTCACCTGAGCCCCTTGGTGGCGGTGATTTGGAGCCCCATGCCCAGCTCTTCCTGAGAGGTAGCCCTGGCCCTGCCTGGGGAGACTGGAGGGGTTGTGGTGGGGATGGGGGCAGGGTAAGTCTGAGGTGACCCTCCTGCTGCAGAACTGCTCCCTGTGCTGCCTAAGCGCCTGTGCAGCCCCTGTTGGGAGGTGAGGGACTCCAGCCTTGAGTTCCTGACCCAGATGACCCGGCGCTGGGGCGGTGAGTACAGGGTACGCGGGGCCGGCTGTGGGAGGGCGGCCCGGCCTTAGCACACTGATTGTTTCCTGTTGGCTTTGGGAACCCAACCGCCTAGGCTGCCCTTGGGTAAGGAAGGGAGGGAGCTACAAGTTCAGCCCTGGGTCACAGCTGGTTGTGGCCCCTCGGACCCCCAGGGCAGGCCAGCTTCAGACGTGTGCTCCTCGCTTCCGAGGTACCTGAGCTCACCGAGCAGCTCCTGCGAGACCCTGAGAGTTACGTCCGCGCAAGCGCGGTGTCCGCCATGGGGCAGCTTTCCAGCCAGGGGCTGTGTGTCACCCCTGCCAGCCCCGAGCACCCAGAGGCCCAGCAGGTAGGAGGCAGTGGGCCCCGAGGCCAGTCGTTCACGTCCAGTGGTTGTCTTGATCCCCAGGGTCCAGTGGGTCGGCCACCCAGTTGCGGGTGGTCTGGGGCCAGAGTCCTATTGGGTGTGTCACCTGAATCTCTGATTCTCTTCCAAGTGCCACTGTCTCTCGGATGTGGTCACCCCCCTTAAGTACAGGAGCAAACAGAGGGCCGAGGGGAAAAGCTGTGTCAGCCCCCAGGCCTGGGGAGGTAGTCGCGGGGGTCCCTGCCTTCCCCGATGCGCGTTAGCAGGGCTCGGTCTTCCACACTCCCTCCCACCGCCTCTCGCTCTGTCTTTCAGAAGAGCCTGCTCGCGGAGCTCCTGCACATCCTGTCCACAGACTCGGAGGGCTTCCCCCGGAGGGCCGTCATGCAGGTCTTCACCCAGTGGCTAAGGGACAGCCACACCGACGTGGTGGCTAACACAGAGCGCTTTGTGGCCAGGGTGCTCCAGGTGGCAAGCCGGGATCTGGACTGGGAGGTCCGGTCCCAGGGCCTTGAGCTGGCGCTAGTGTTCCTGGAGCAGACGCTGGGCCAGCCCAGCTCCCACTGTCCCTATGCCGTGACCCCGCCCACGGTGGCCCCACTTAGCCCGGTGGCCCAGGCCCTGCGGCCACTCTGCCGAGTGCAGCTCTTTGAGTTTGCCTTTCGTGCCTTGTTTGACTGTGACCGACCCGTGGCTCAGAAGTCCTGTGACCTCCTCCTCTTCCTGAGGGCCAGGACTGCTTCCTACGGCGGCCTGGAGGACTCTGGGGGTGGCCCTGATGCGGCCTCCGTGGAGGCCGCCCTGCAGAGGTGGCAGTCGGGTGATCAGGGCCAGCCCCTGGGGGAGCTGGAGCCCAAGGCCGTGGTGGCTGTGCTGAGGTCTCTGGACCTGGAGGGCCTTCGAGGTGCGCTGGCCGAGAGCAGCGACCGCATGGGGAAGAGCCCTCGCTCGCTCCTGCAGGATGTGCTGGCAACGGCGGGCATCCTGGGGGAGAATGAGGCCGACTGCTACTGACACGCCAGGCGGCAGTCTCCCTCCCTTCCCCTGCGTCTCGTCCCTTCTGGAGGCCCTGCCGTCCTGAGAGCTCTGGCCTGGCCTGGCGGCACCAGGGACCTTTAGGGAGGCCAGGACCTGGTGAGACTGGCAAGGTGGGAGAGTGTGTTTTGATGTATTGTTAAAGAAAAGGCATATTTTTTACTCAAAGTAAACAGTGTTTGGCAGCACTCCTGAGTGAGCCTGCGTTTGAAGCTGCCCGGGGCAGATGCAGGTGCCAGACCTGGGGGATGGGGGGGGGTTTGCAGAAGCATCTGAGGAGGAGTTTCTCTGAGGGACAGCCGTGTGCTTCATGAGGTGCCAGTTGGGGTGGTCTCCACCGTGGACCCCACTTTGCCCCAGGGGTGCTCAGGCGTCAAAGACACGATAGCTTTTGCTGGAGAGTGTTCGGCCCTGGGTTCTGGCCCCTCGTGCTGGTGACCCCGGTTGGACCAAGGCCAGGTTCCCAGCTTCTGCACCGGGGGGATCACTGTCAGCTTGTAGTGGTCAAGAGTCTGCTGCCTCAGCTGAGCAGGCAGGGAGAGTTGAGATCCAGGCCAGGACCTGGGGGCCACACGGCTGCACTGGTCCTGGTTCTCCCATCTGCCTCCCGGCGGTAAGTGTCCTTGTGTTCTAAAGCCGCAGGCATGGTCAGAAAAGACGTTGCAAGTGAAATTTAGAAATATTTTTGACGAAATCAGAGTGAAAATACAGCTTATCAATGTCTATAGGGTGAGGCAGTGTTCAGAGGGAAGTTTAGAACATTGAATGCAGAGATTAGGAAAGAAGGAACCTCTAAAATCATTAGGTTTCTAGGTTCATACCTTAGGTAACTAGGAGAAGAAGATGAAATCTAAAGCTGGAAAATAAAAATTAGAGGGGTGCTTGGGCGGCTCAGTTGGTTAGGCTCAGGCCATGATCTTGCAGTTCATGAGTTTGAGCCTCATGTCGGGCTCTGTGCTGACAGCTCAGAGCCTGGAGCCTGCTTCCAATTCTGTCTCCCTCTCTCTCTCTGCCTCTCCTGCGCCTGTTTTCTCTCTGTCTCTCAAAAATAAACATTTAAAGCAGTTTTTAATAAATAAAAATTAAAACCAAAAACAGTTAAAATTTAAAATGAAATCAAAAGAGAAAGTCATTTAAGCCAAAAACTGATTTGAAGAGATCAATAAAATTGATAAGCCTCTAGCTAGACTGATTTAAAAAAACAGGGAGGATACAAATCACGAGCACCAGAAATGAAAGGGAACCTCCCTGCAGATCCCATGGAGACTGAGAAACTAAAGGAATAATAGTAAAGGAATACTGTGTACAGCTTTAGGCCCATAGATTTGATGACCTGGCTGAGACGGACCAATTCCTTGAAAAATAATTTGCCAAAACTCACACAAGAATAAATAGATAATTTAAATAAACCTTCAGTTAAGGAAATGGAGTCGATAATTCACAACTTTCCCAAACAAAGCCCCAGGCCCAGACGGGTGCGTGGGTGACTCCACCAGACACTTGAAATCATTCCCTGCGACCTCTCCTGAGGGCGGAGGCAGAGGGAGCACTTCCTCCTTGTTCTACGAGACCAGTGTCACCCTGACACCCACTCCAGACGATGACAGTCCAGAACACCGGAGACCAACATCTCATGAATGTAGACGGTCGGCAGCCTCGACACACTAGCAAATGGAGTCCAACAACGTGGAAGAAGAGCTCTGCAGCAGCAGTGGGGTTCACCCAGGAGGAGGGCTGGCTTCGCAACTGCAGCTTAGCTCCTATAAGCCCGCAGGGCCACAGGGACCCACAGGCGGAAGGGGAATCGTGTGCTCATGTCAACAGATGCAGGAAAGGCATTTGTCATGCCCGGTGTTCACCCCGGAGGTGAGGGCCCCCCGCCTCTGGAAAGCCTGTGTATTTCAGAGGGACTTGTGAGGGGAGAGAAGCGTGTGGACAGCAGGGGGCCTGTTCTCGTCCTTCTGTGGAATGCAGCTGGTCTGTCTTGGCAGACTTTGCATTTGGGGCGCAGCCCCGGTGGATCCCCTGCCCGCTTCTTCACCGAGGGACGCTGGCCAAGGCCTGACTTCACCTGTACAGGCCGCTGTGCGCTGGGTGGGGCCTGGGATGCCCCTGGGTTACAGATGGGCTCCACCAGGCTGTCGAGAGCAGACGGAGACATGGCGTGTCATTCACCAACAAAGTGGCTGACGTGTTAGCTGCTTGCTTTGCCCCGTCTTAACCTGTCCTGTCCCCGCGGTCCTGTTGGCCTGCTCTCCCCTACTCTGCCCACTTCCTTCCCTCGCCTCACACAGCCCCCTTCCCCGGACGGGCCCAGGACTTCTGCCCAGACCTCCCTCTCTTTGAGCCCTGGACCTGCATGGCCACTGCCAGCGGGCCAGCCGTGCTGCGATACGGCGAGGACACTGCACGTGTGACGTAACGCTTTGCTGCACCCGCTGCCTGTCTCCTGGGCTCCTGCAGCCACTTCTCAATGGGTTTCTTCCACTGGACTTTCTCCCTCCAGTCTGTTCTCTTTGGCTGTCACAGTCATCTGGTCAGTGTCACTTCCTGGCCAGAAGCTGCCATGCCCCCCTGTTGCCAGCAGGCTGTACCCCAGAGCCTGTGGCCCAGGTGCCCATCAGCCTGTTTGGCACCGTCTCCTGCAGATACCTTAGTCAACACCCTCGAACATCGTAGCAGGAGACTAAACGTCACCTGGCCGTGGCCGGCTCTCAGGCCCCCATCAGTGTCCGCTTCAGCAGGCTGTCTGCTGCGGGGCCCACGAGCCTTCCTTCCTGACACCACAGGAGAGTCAGGTAACAAAATTTGCTGTTTGGGTCAGTCTTGAGGTGTCGTTATGTCACTGTCGCTCTTGGCATATGTGCATATCAAGTGTAGACGCTGAGTGGGCACTTACTTTCTTGCAGCAGGAGCCCACAGAGCACACTCCACTGTCCCCTGCCTTCCGTGGCCCAGCAGCCACTGTCAGCCTCACTGCTGTTGCCGAAGGTAACCCATCTTTCTTACAGCTTCTCTCCTTTAGTTTTCTGCAATTTTACTACCACATGTAGGTGAGAATTTTTTTTTTCCCCCAATTCTTGGGACTCGCTGGGAGTCTTGAACCTGGATTTTTTTCCCCCATCAGTTCTGGCAGGTTCTCAGCCCCTGTCCTTTCAGACTTCAGATATGGTCCCTGCTCCTGACTCTGGCCACTGTCTTCCTTTTCCTAGAGCCCTGGCAGGTGTCAGATCTCACATCACCTGTTTGCTGGTGTCTCTGTGCTCCATTCTGTCTGTGCTTCTTGAAATTTGTCATCACTTTATACAGCTTCCTGCTTCCTGCTGATATTTTCAAGTGTTTACTTCTTTAAACAGAGCAAGCTTCGTTGTTTTATAGTCTGTCTGTATTGTGGTAACACTGGCCACTCATCGTGCCCCTTCAGTCCTAGCTGAACTCCTACAAGTTCATTCACTGCCCACAGCAGGTGCCCTGCATGCTGTTCTCTCCTGGGCTGCTTTCCTGCAAGTGGTGAAATGGGACCTGGGGCCCTCTGTTCTAGTGCCTTTTCCTATCAGCCCACAGCTCCTAAGGCTCCTGTAGGGTTTGGGTCCATGCCAGGCAGGCAGAAATGAGAGCGCTTGAAGGATCAAACGGGGATTTACAGTTGGGGCCTGGAAGTTACATGTTACTGTGCGTAGCCCATTGTCCAAGCTTCAGTCACATGGAGTCACATGGCCATGCCCGGCCATGCGGGGCTCAGGATTGTAGGAAGGCTGCGCACACGGGGCTCAGGATTATAGGAAGGCTGAGTGAAGGGGGCCTGCCTGCCACTGTCTGCCACAATGTGTGGCAGCTCCAGCACCCAAACCTATCCAGGTGCCCGGGGACACATTGCTTCTGTCTGTTCTTGGTCATTAACTACGTGCTAATTACTGGCTCTCAAACACTTGTATGTGGGGATTCTTGGAGGTGGAGATGAAGGGGAGCTTTCCTAGGGAGTTAAGTGGGGACCTTCCTCAACCCAAGTTCACGGTTGAACTTGGGAGGCCCACCCAGGTAACGCATCCCTGGGCCTTGAATCGGTGCTCGGACTTCTCAGGAACTTTCTCGTTTTGATACTGCATCTCTTAGCCCAAGTCACTCTTGTCTGACTTCCCCTGGGGTTTCCTGCAGGACAGAGGGAGCAGGCCTAATTCAGACTCATTCCTAGAGAGCGCAGCCCTTCAGAGTTTCAGTTTAAGATGAAGTGGGTCTTCTGCACTACACCCCACGTGGCCAGAACTGGCCCAGACTTGTGCCTTCTGATCCTGTGAGGCCGCCCAACAGGTGTTGGCAGGTATTAACAAATGCTAGCTGGCCGAGAGGGTGCCAGCCAATCAGAACGGACATTGACTGGTGTGTCCAATCAAGGTGCCACAGCCGCCCAGCAGCCCTGTTGCTATGCAGATTTCTCTTCCCAGTGGGAGCAGGCTAGATGATCTGGGCCGCCCATCTTCCAGCAAACAATGAGGGGTGCGGACCATGTGCCTATCGCCATCTGTAGGAGCCAGAAGCACTGACAAGACCAAGGTCCTCAGGGAGATTCCATCCCAGACGAGCCCGAGGGGCCTTGCTCCGGGAGAGAGGGCAGATGCACCACGGAGCTCAGAACCACGGTCCGCACTGAACAGAGATTGAGCTATTTCACCAACTTTGATGCACTAACGTGCAGTTACCCAGAGACAGGTGTCCGTGGAGAGAAAACCTTAGAGGATGGGAGCTCTGACCCAGCCCGTTCTGTGGCCACGCCCACCCGCTGCGGCCACTGCAGGTCACCCACCCTCTCGCACCTATAAGCTGGGACTCATGCAGCAGCCCTCTCCGTGCTGCGGGCTCTGGGAACAGAGACAGGCCCCATACTGTGTCCCCATCCCTAGGTTCCACACAGCGCTGGCACATAGTAGGTCCGCGTGCAGCCCGCACATCCTGGCCTGGTCCCTGGCAGCCTGGGGGAGCTTTTAGGGTGCTCAGCACATGCTGATGGCATGAGATTGGATGATGGTTTGCCAGGGCCCTTGGAAGAGGGCACATCAGCCTCTGCTGTGTCACAAACCCCCTCAGGCCACTGGTTTCAAACAACAGTGTTCAGTCGTGTGTAAAGGGTCTGGGGGTGCAGCCATCGCTGCTTCCCCCAGCTGGCTGTCTTGCCTCTGGGGTCAGCTAGTGA